TAGATTCTTTATTGTATTCCTCCTGTTCAAAAAATCTTCCGTCTTTTAACCATAAAGATTGAGGACAGTTTTCATCAATGCTGTATGTAATATACCACAGATTTATAGTACTGTTACAAACTAACATGTTTATAATTTTTAATAATTCATCCTCAACTTTAAAAAAATCTTTTCATTTAGAATCTTGCGTCATTTTTATTAGATTTTCCCAGGTCTGTAACATTTTACAGGTGTGTGTTAGGATGAATCAGAGCAGTTTAAACAGTGCAGTGTGCAGCCAGCAGAAGATGAGAGTGTTTCATACAAACATTCAGTTTTTATGCAGCCAACCACAGATTTTTTTTTTCTGGTTCTGTCTCCCCAGCATGATCTGTGTGAGCATATTTGTCCTGCTGGCCCTCAGCAGTGGGGCCCTGGGATCTCTGCAAGATAAGCAAACAGACTTCGGACTGAAGGTTTTCTCTCAGCTCGCTACGGACGCTGCAGACACAAACCTGGCGTTCTCCCCCTATGGCATGGCCAGTATTATGGCCATGGCTCAGCTTGGCGCGAATGGAAACACACAAAGGATCTTGACTGCAGCCATGGGATTTTCTCTGCAAGGTGAGCAGGAAATAAATGAAGTACCTCAGATCTGTTAGATCAACTGCAACATTACCGTAAACATGTATCTCAAAATCTATAAACGCATCCATTTAAGGTAAAGACATCTAATCAAGTCAACAAGCTCTTGTTTTGTGTATTGGACTTATCCATTTGCTGCCTGCCCTCTTGCATCTCGTCCTAGTATGTCCAGGGCACATTATTGTTTTGCTTCAACTAAACCAAAAATGCTTCTCCTGCAGGGCGAGGAATGCCTCGGCAGCAGCGCCTCCTGCAACGCAATCTGGCAAGTCAGGATGGGGTGGAGATAGCCAGCGGGGTGATGGTGGAGCGGAAGATGAGTCTGGAGAAGCGATTCCGCCGGGCCCTGGCCAAAACCTTCCAGACTCACCCCCACCAGATGGATTTCACCAAACCAGAACAGGCTGTCAGCATTATCAATGCATGGGTCTCAGATCACACTGCAGGTACTAACGTCTGTCTGTTAACAGCTATCAATCATCTTCAGAGAGGCAGAACTCTTGGAGTACCAGTTAAAAGTAGAAGACCAAGATTTAGGGCACAGGAGTTGAAACTTTTCCAGAGTTTCTTTCATCACAGCTTCAGATAGGTGATGAAATACCCTGACATTTCAGGCACCTATCACAGACCTCAATAGTACAACAAAAACATAGATGCTAAGAGAAAATAAAAAGTCAAGGAGAGACAGACAGACCCTTCCACAGCACCAGTCCCTGAAGTCTGTTGTGTTTAGTGAAGCGTTTTATATCAACAGCTAAGTGGATTGTGTTCTTCCTTCCTGTAGGTGCCATCCCAGAGTTCTTGTCCTCTGGATCCTTGGACGATGAGACGCGCCTGGTCTTCCTCAACGCACTCCACTTCCAGCGCTTATGGAAAGTTCCCTTTGACCCCAAACTAACACAGGAGAGAATGTTCCATTGTGCCAATGGCAGCACTGTTCCTGTGCACATGATGACACTCACGGACCTCTTCAACTATGGTACAGTGCGCCAACGATCCAAACTTCAGGTTCTAGAAAAAAAACTTCTTTATTTGTTCTTCCCAACTCAAATGCAAAATTGTACCTTTTCATTCTTTCTAAATCCTCAGGTGAATTTGTAACTGCTGATGGGGTGGATTACGATGTAATAGAGGTACCATATGAGGGCGACTCACTGAGCATGCTCCTGGTATCACCCTTTGAGCCTGAAATTCCTCTGAGTGTCCTCAGTGCGGATCTGAGCAGCCAGAAGATTCAGCAGTGGAGGTCAGAGCTGAGGAAGGTCAACAGACAGCTGGCTCTACCCAGGTGAGGAAGAAGGGCTGTGGTCATGGACTGCATTCGTTTGCTTCTCTGGCCACATGTTAGACGTCCGTTAGCAAACTAAAGAATGTGTGTTTCTTCAGGTTTTCTCTAAACTCTGACATTGATATGAAGAGTGCTCTACTTAAAATGGAACTTGGAGACGTGTTCAACCTGGCGACTGCTGACTTTACACGGATAACATGTAAGTTGATGTTTGTTTGAAGCTTTGCTCGATAGACTCTTGTTCCACATGAATGTAAAATTCCTTATTAACTTTCAGATCATTGCACTCTTTGTCGTCAACAATGCCTATTTGTCGTCAACAATGCCTATTCTTTGCATATTCTGCTTCGTATTAATCACTTTTTTGTGGAATAGCTTTGATTTGTGCAGCTTTTCTATAACAAAATAAAAGATGCCAATTGATACACTTTGTGTCTGATCTGTTTCCATTTTATTTTCACCAGCTGATGAGAGGCTTTGCATTTCAAAAGTGCTGCAGACGGTGAAGATTGAGGTGGACGAGCGTGGAACCAAGGGAGCATCAGCAACAGGTAGAGTCCTCACTCAATATTTCATACCACAGACCCTAAAAATAAAAACAGGTCATTTAACTTTAAGAAAATATTGAGTTAATTTGTTACAAGTATATGCAGATGAATACATTATTAAGTTTTTATATGTTCAATAAACAAATTCAATTGCGTGTAACAAATTAACACAATGTTTCAAAGTTGGACCTCCATATTTTTTTTCAGGTCACAAATAAATGGTGCTGCTATTTACAATGGTCCTCATTCATTCATCGACTCACACACACACATACCCACACACACACACACACACGACTGTGACATTTTTTAGCTCAGCTGCAAAAGTCTGAGATCAGACATTTTTCCAAACACACGAAGGATCCAGCCTGTGACTGTTGGCAGTCCAACTCTGACAATCTGTTGACAGCAAGAATCAAACCAAGCCAGAGTGGATGCATTTTAATGCTATTAAAAATAAATTGCATCTTAACACAAAGTCAATATACCCTTGTGCAGCATAAAGGTATTTACAGATACCTTGTGCAAACTTTCCTTTGGATGTCGGAGTGAGAGTGAGAATAAGAAATATTCCAGGTTACAGTATTCTCAAAACTTTAACTAATTTCACTCTAGGATTATAAGATGAGTCCTCCCATTGATAGTTTCTCAAGCTGACATCTGGCTCACGCAGACAACACACTACAATGATCAGTGTTAAGACTGAGGTTTCAGTGAAGGCCGAACGGAATCGATTAACTGATCAATTTGATTTTTTCCCCCTCTTCTTCTCTTTGTTAGCTGCTGTCATGTTCTCCCGTATGGCAGTTCAGGAGATCACACTGGACCGACCTTTCCTCTTCCTCATTCAGCATAAGCAAACTGGTAACAGCCCTAAATATGTTTATTTATTCCCATGAATTAAAACACCAGTAGAGGAGACTGGTTCTGATTGTTTTCTCGTTTCTTTTCAGGTACTATTCTCTTCATGGGTCAGTTGAACCAACCTCAACAGTGACACTCAGCACACCTTCTCTTGTCCTGCACTGTGACTATTACTGTCTGTAACTCCACATGATGACCCGACCTAAAGACCTGTGACACTCAGAGACTCTACATGTTTCAGCGATGGTTCAATTCACTGACACCCTTATTTATAATGACTGATACTGGGGCTGCTTTGACTGTAAATGAGAACATTTTTTATATCTATGCTGTTTATTTATTTTTCTACATTCAAACTGATGCGAAGTGAGAAGCTACTATTGCTAATGACAGTATTGCACCTGTAGAGATATGCCTGCATTTGTACCAAAATATTAAGTATTTTTTTATGTATTTAAATATTCTGAAAACTGCAGTGTGTAATATTTGTGTCTCATTACATGTATGTGTATTTCTGGATTGGTTTCATTAAAATGAGCGAAATCATAAATGGTCTCGTGAGTTAACATTTGCAACCGAAAATGAAGATGAACTAATGCCAAACAAAAGAAGAAGTCTTGACTTAATCGTTTTTTCAAAAATGCAACTCCCAATGAATGCTGCCACTCCATATAAACAACACATATATTTTCAAATTATTCAATTATGTTTCACTTTAAGCACAAAGGATGATCAGCCTGGACAGCTGCAACTGCTATAAAGTGTTCTTTCTGCAAGATCAAATATGTATATATATACTGATATACATATCAGTATGTTGTGTCTGGCTTTTTTTTTTTTTTTGTTCCTTTCCTTAAAGTCACAGAGGTTTTGTTGTTCCAAAGTGTGACTTGGAGCTGTTGTGCTAAAGTTCACACAAAGTCAGTACAGATGCAGTGAGTAAACACAGATCATTTGGCACATGACATTAGGAGGAAACGTGTTGTAATCTGAGGTCATGGGGACTCCATTGGTGAACATACCAAACTAGATTCACCAGATACATCACACTGTCATCTCTGACACATCTCAGCCATTTCCTCTCCTAACAGAAGCCGTTTGCACACAGAAGTCCTGCTTTAAAGAATCCTCCCTGTTTGAGTCATGATTTTGTTTCCACTGACCAAGCAGAGCAAGGCCATATGTGTATTTTCAGATAACATTCTGGTGTTGTGGAATCAAAGGCAAAGGTTGAAAAGAGTCTCTACTGCATGGGGGGTTCAGGTTGTTGTCAGAGTTCTGAAGGCACCAGTTAGAAAGTGTATCAGCATTTTCACCAAACTGACCCATTTCCTTAATTTAAAAACTGAGCCATGAGAATAGTAAAGAAGTGCAATTTCAGTTTGGACAATATGTCTGTAGTTTGTATGGTATTACAACTACTATTTTCTACTACTGGTAATAAAATTGCATGTGCAATGTGTAAAGGGTCCAGTGTGTGGCAATCATAGGGCAAATTTAAGCAAGATAAACAGAAATACATATTTTAAGAAAATACCATAATAATAATAATAATAATAATAATAATAATAATAATAATAATAATAATAATAATAATAATAATAATAAGAGAGTTGGTGGTCATTATAATTTATAAGTATTACGTCGGGTGTGCGCATGCTCAGTAGAGGCGGAAGTGCTCAGTAGTGGACGTTCCACGGCAGTGCTGTATTTGCGTTTCGTTGAATTTTTTTCAGGAACACCAGACCGCAATGGACCTTCAGCATTAGCCGCCGTGAAAACTGTGAATCGGAATCGGAAGTTAGAGGCTGCGACGTTCGAGAGACGTTCGAAAATCTTGCAGAATGGTAAGTTACTGTCCCTCACCGGGTTGAATGAGAGGGAAGCTAAACCGTGCTAATGCTAGCAAGGTGTATGTTTCCAGGAAGTGCCCACCTGCGCTGCGTTTACCTGGCTGCAGTCAGCCAACAGGCCTTCGGCATTTTGGGCAGCAGCGCTGCTGCAAACAGAACAGCCGTGTTTTCTGTTCCAGTCAGCGTCGGTGCTGCTAATATATTCACCTTAGACCTGACAGTTTGTATTATTTTCTGTTGAAGTTTCCAGATTCCCTTCCAGTCCCGTTTAAAAGCCTCAGAAACGGATCTTATTTAAATGTTAGGTTTTCACTAATAGTAATTCACATTTTGGTTGTCTTTTATACAGCATGTAAAATAAGTATTGGATGTATACATCAATGTCTCTCTCAGTTGACATATTCCTACTGGGACCATTGACGTTGAATTACACCAGTTACTGGCAACAACCCAAGTGATCCACGCATATAAACATGTCAATGATTATTTCATAGATTTCGCTTATGGGTAAAAACTCTCAGCTGTGATCTTGAGCCCTTCTCACATAAACTTTGAAAAACTGCAAGGTTCTGTCGATCAATACATGCTTTCTGATCTTCAGTTCTGTCAGTGGATTTAATTGGACTCAAGTCAAGTGTGTTAGCTTTTTCCTGGTTTCTGAAAAAGAAGAATGCTTAGTATTTCAATTTTAACTTTTGAACTTTAAAGCAAACAAAAATACCCCACCTATTTCTTATTTTTTAATATCCATTTCTAAAATGATTTTCTAAAGCAATGACAAAATGGTTCTAGTTAAAGATGGCATTTCTAAGTTTTTATTTCTTGTAGGTCACCCTTACATAATATTTCATAATCTACAGTCTGTGACAGAGTAGGAGCGGTGAAAGGATAAAACAGAGCAGCTTTGCTATAACTTTTAGCTTCCTGTGAGCATTACTTCCTTTTTTAAGGTTGTAGGCTGGATGGACATCCATAACACACCTTCTCTTTCCTAGAAGCATTTGACCGATTTTGTGTTTAATTGGACTTAATTTTAAAAACCTAAATGATACTCACAGTTACAAACTTTGAGTATTCTTTCCTTCTGAAATAAATTACAACAGATCTGATGTGCATGCAGGGATGCATTATTAGATAAATCCAATAATAAATCTCTTCCATGCATTCCAGTTCAGTCCAGTAATGCATCCCTTGTCTTTTAATTATGTGAGATCAGGTTGTGGGGAACTAAAGGCGTTTCCAAGCCAGAAGAGACATTTGGTTCCTACCATGGGATCTCTGTTCAGACATGTCTGGAAAATCTTAAAAGGGAGATTCAATTTCAACCTGCAGTGAGGTCCAGTTTTATCATTTGAGTGCAAAGGTCTTAGTCAGAGGAGCTAACGCCCATCTCATCAGACCTGTGAGGTAACCATCCATGTCCCTAACACCCCCTGACCTCAACCTCCACCCCTGCAGTTGGTCGGCCCACATTGTAGGGAGTTTCCTGTACCATTTTGGACTGAGCATCGCCAAGCCCTAAGAAGGCGAGGTTTGACTGCTGGACGCTTTAAAAGACAAATAAACAAAAACAACACTCTGAGCAGATGTCCCGCCTCGCTAATCCAGTTTGGCATTTCATGTTTGCAAATTCTGTTATTTTTGTCTTCAATTCAAGAAAATTAAATCATTTTATTCCAGTCAACATTACCTGTTAGAGGTCAAATGTTTAGTCCATAAATTTGATGAACTGTAATAATCAGTATGTTGATAAAAGAAAATCTATCCCTGACACCACAACTCAAAGAAGCTGTAAATAAGCAGCTTCTTAACAATAAAAACTGATCCTAAAGTTCCATTTCTTCTGTCTGCTGGTTGCATATGCAAAACAACATATGAAATTTGTTACTTTGACTCGGTGCAAAAACAAGCATAACTTAGCGTCTCTAGGCTTTTACCAATTTAAAGTCTTTTAACGTCAAGCTTTTCTAAAGGTCTCTGTTTCATCTTAACCCCATTTTTTAATAACTAATATTAAAAATAAGTAATATTTTCCGCACCAACTAATTTTTTTATGTTTTTTTTTTTTTTTTTTTTTTGTTGTTGTTGTGCTGCATAAAATGACCAAGACCACATTTGTGTTGCTCAGAAAGGTCAACATCAGCTTCTTTCTCTCATCAACTATTTTCTCTTTCTTTCCCATCAAATGTTTTCCTCACATCTCTCCTTTCTTTTTTGTCTTTGTGTTCATTACATTTGAAACAAACCCAAAGCGACTTCTAATAAAGATTCTTGTCTATATTAAGTGGAGCGTGATCTATTCACAAGCATTGGCTTTCATTCTGGTGAAAGCCAATGTTGCCAAAGTAAATTGTTGGCACTCAGACAACAATTCTGAGTGCCACACTGCTGTACAGGACACGCTAAAACTAAAAATAATATTAATGATATCTCTGTTTCCCTCTAGATGCGATTCATGCTGCTGTTCAGTCGGCAGGGGAAGCTGCGACTGCAGAAATGGTACACGGCTACAGCGGAACGAGACAAGAAGAAGATGGTCAGGGAGCTGATGCAGATAGTTCTTGCCCGCAAACCAAAGATGTGCAGTTTTCTTGAATGGAGGGACCTTAAGATTGTCTATAAAAGGTACTAAAACAAACTTTCACTTCAAGTTGTTTGTACTTTTTAAAACTGACTAACGCTTGAGTAGGTATATTACTTTCACTACACGTTCAACGCACACCTCTGAAAGCGTGACTGGAGGTCATATTTGTGAGCCGTGGCTTTTAAACATCACTCAAACTTTGATGAAGAATTCTCTAAAGAACATTTATATCACCGAAGGTTGATATAAATGTCTGTGCAGGGGAACCTGTGTCCAGTTTGAATGAAAGGAGGCGCGTGAGCCGTGCCGAGGTAAACTTTAGAGATGCAGCCTTGACAGCGCGCTAGTCAGTCGATGCACAGATGCACTAGTGATGTGATTGGTCCGTGCTCCGTCTTCATGCCGCACTCAATGCAACAACAATAAACCAGTCTTTCAGGAACACTTCTGTTCCTGAGCATAACATTTGCTCAGCAAGTTAAGCCTGGCAGCCTGCCAGGCTTGCACTACACTGAGGGAGACCCTGAGTTGATCTCCTGCTTTATGATATTTAGATTGATTCATTTTTCACAATCAATCTAAATATAACAATTGATTATATAACAATATTTTTCAGATTGATTTTATTTATTTTGACCAACTTCTCGATGTACACACTGACGTCTTTCTTCCCCTGTGTTTATACCCATGCAGGTATGCCAGCCTATATTTTTGTTGTGCTATAGAAGAGCAGGACAACGAACTGATTACACTGGAGATCATCCACCGCTTTGTGGAGCTGCTGGATAAATATTTTGGCAGTGTAAGTCACAAAACAGAAGCGTTCTCTGTTTCTGAATATTAATGGCTTTGCAAAAGCCCGATTATGAAGCTGTTTGTTTGCCGTGTATTTTTGCAGGTGTGTGAGCTGGACATAATCTTTAACTTTGAGAAGGCTTACTTCATTTTAGACGAATTCCTGATGGGAGGAGAGATCCAGGACACATCCAAGAAGAGCGTCCTCAAAGCCATCGAACAAGCTGATCTGCTGCAGGAGGTAACACCTTCCTTCTTCACCCAGTCAGCCAGAGTTTAGAAAATACTATCAAAAACACTTCTGGCAGTCGTTATTTCTCTAAATATGATCCAAATCTGTATTTATGTGCAATGACTCTTTCTCCCCTTTTCAGTATTTTTCTTTTTCTGGCTTTGTAAAGTCAGAGTTTGTAGTAAACCTATAATCTCTTATATGTGTTTGAAATGATTGAACTTTGTGACTAAATTCCAGCGATCTGAGTTTCACGCCATGTTTCGTTTGGTCCAATGGTGCCAGCTCACGTGCTGAGATAAGCTGGTTTGATTTGTGTTTGATAGGAAACAGCTCAGAGACTGGCTGCTTTATCAGAAAGGCTGTAGTGTCTAACTGATTTTTCTTTTTTTTTTCATAAAGCCTCTTGTAGTCTCTAATGTCTTTATTCAATGAAATAAGTGAATGCAAAACCTACTTCCATAAGCAGCATTAGAAGCATCAGGCTTTTCCAGCTAAACTGCGTTGGCAGGAAGGGACATTATCTACATTTGTCTTTACTTTTATGTGGATAATGCAGCAGTTTTCTGTTTTAATGTGGCTTTTTGCTGTTTGCAGGAGGATGAGTCTCCCAGGAGTGTATTGGAGGAGATGGGTTTGGCGTAGTCCCAGTGAAACTAAGAAGTTCGAGACAAAAGGCAGGAGGAGGCAGGACAGTTTGGACTCTGGGATCCGAGAGCAACATTTCCTCTGGGGATAAGACTCAGTGGATCCTTGCATTGGACTGGCCCTTTGGCTCTCTTTTTTGTTTGTGTGTGTGTGCGTGGGTGTGTGTGCGTGTGTGTCTGCATTATCAAAGTGTGGGATAATGGTAATGGGCTATATTTAACTTTTATGTGCCTGGAGGAGCAGTGCATGTTCTGATTGTTACAGATGTGACACAGTTTGAAGCTTCGCTGTGATTTCAGTCATACTGAGGCAGGCTTGCAGGCTGATATAAACGCTCGTCAAGCAAGCAAAGCCAGGCCTGGATGTAGGCCTGCCGATCACAACTGAATGTGAACGAGGACTGGGTCAGAGCATCGAAGCACTGCGTGAGGTCACAGGTTCTATAAGTGTGTCCAGAACCAGGTTTATTCCAGGCAAGTCAGGTGAAAACAAATCATTCTCAACTCTGACCTGAAATTGTGGCTGTAAAGACTTGAGCTCTCTTTGGTGGATCAGAGCTCAAGCCATGTGCCTCCAGCTATCTCCATGACAACGGACATCAAACATGCTCAGAACCGGCTCAGGACTGAGGCGAGAGTTTTGTTCCGATTCGTTTTCTGTCTTCATTCAAATTTCTCCTTAATCTAGAATTGCTGATCAACCGTCAGACTTGTTAATTCGATGCTTCTTGATAGTTGAAGATTCCACTTTGTTTATGTAATCTCACTGAAAACTAAAATGATAAACTTCTTCAATGAAAATGAACCCAAGACATTCAATCGTTTCTTGAGCCATTAGTTTGTGTTGACTGCAGTTCCCAACCAAAATGGAGATGTGAGAGAGGTACATATCTTCCCAGAACCGGATGCTGGTTCTGGGTTTTAATGCTACGGCGGGATAACTATTATAAAAAAAGATAAAATGTTATTTAAAGGAGATGTATTTTGCAAATTTTGCCTTTTGCATGTTTTTGTACTTCCATTTATGTTTCTACTGCTTCTAAGTCCAAATGCTTAAAAAAACACTAAGGCAATACGTTGATGTTTTTTGGTGTCTGGAAAATGAGACTTTTTTTTAAAACCTCCAGAATGAACAAATTAGCAGCCACTGCCCCTCACCTATCAACCCCATCAAAGTCCAGCCTGTCACCTAGCAACCCAAGCTGAGCGCCAGCACATGTGGTCAGCTGGTTTTACTTCTATATACTCTGTACAACAGAAGCAGCTGCTAACATCACAGAGAGGTTTATTACTGACAGCAACCTCAGTGAGCATAAATACGACTCATAAGTAAACAGGTTCAATACTAAGCAACAGTCAATAGTACAACATTCACGCCCCCTTGTGGTGGAAGAGAGTTGTCACAGTTTGAATTGCAACACCTACAGTTTAAGTAGTTCTACTTCAGTACATTTTTTGGATGCTCTACCCACCTCTATATAATCATTACAAGTTTTGCTTTACTGAGGAAGATTCAGTAAAATAGGAGGAGCCTACTAAAAAAAAAAAACGGTTTATGTCTCTGGAAAAATGAACAGACCACTGCACTGAAGCCCATTGAAAAGCTCCTGATTATTCCACCAAATACTGATTTCTGAACTCTTCCTGACTTAAAACATTAGTATTGTTGTTTCTAAATGAATGTGAACTTGTGATGTCATCATTTGAGATCTGAAAGCGCTGCATCCCTTTCATTATTTTGAGCATTTGTCATTTCCTGCAAATAAATGCAAAATTTTTGCTTTGAATTTTGGAGACATGTTCATTTTATTCAAACATATACCTATAAAAAGTGAAATCAGAGAAACTGATAACTATAAGTGGTCTCTTAATTTTATTTTTGCAGATATATATATATATATATATATATATATATATATATATATATATATATATATATATATATGAATGACAAGAGGACATATGGACAAAATCTGGGCTCAATTTGCCATGAGGACGGGGGCGGAGGGTTGTTGCCCAAAAACTATGAATGAAATGCAAGTTGGTGACGTCAAAGGGACCTCTTGACGCAACGTCACGTGAGCCTGGAAGGCGGAGAGATCCTGAGATCCACAGCCCCGCTGTCCATAGTCCTGAAAACAGGCATTCCAGGAGAGGAACCCCGAGAGGACACGAACACCAAAACCCAACTCCAACATCTGACTGCGACTCAGAAACAGCAGCGACATCCGGAGCTGGTGGTGCGCGTGACCGCGGGGTGATCCGCACCTGACGTGACGAGAAAACGGGACCTGGAATCCCCCAAAGCCCCCCGCCCCCTCCCTTCACCTGCAAGTAAGTGGCAACTAATCAATCAGCCTTGTTTACCTCCCGGCCCCGGGCCCCCTCCGTGTCACCGGCCCGGTTCCTCCTGGAGGACTCGGCGCTGCGCTCAGGTGAGCTTCCAGCAACAACTGTGAGGCAGACAGCAGGCTGGGTCCCGGTCCACTGGACCGGAGGAGCAGGGGCCCGGTCCAGTCCTGTTGCTCCTGCAACAGTTGGAACATCTGGAGTCCAGTCAGTGGAGAGCAGAACCTGCGCTGGCGGCGCGTCGTTGGACCTTCATTACATGCTGGTCAAATCTGCTGGGAGCTTCGCCTTCTCATTCTCCTAATCCTTCTAATCCTCCTCCTCCCACCCCCACCTTGTCCTCCTCATCCTCCTCCTCCTGCTCTTCCTCTTCATCCCCCCATCCCCCATGGTTCTTTGTTATGAATGAAATTCGGGTGACAAATGGGCCAAAGAGGAGGTACCCTCATTTGTGTTGAGCTGCAGGTGTGGTGGTTGGCGGTGGGGGTCGTTACATCCCTTTTTTTTTTCTTTTTTTTTTTTTTTTTTTTTGCTGCAGTGATATGAGTTGATCGGACCTTTGGGGCAGATTGAAGCAGTGTGTTTATTTGATAGGTAGGATGGAATGAGGCCAAAGCGCCAGTGAATGTCGTCATCTTGCGTCAGTGTGGCAGAATCAGGAGCAGTGAGGGCAACAGGGCCACAGAATAATGTTGCTGCTGAAAGCTGCCAGGTGAAGCACCGGGAGTGTTATTGAAAGCATGTGGAATGAAATTAAAATATTGAATCATTCCGTTTTTAAACGTGGAATATTCATTTGCTGATCGTTGCTGCATTTTATTTTTTTATTTTATAATTACTATTATTATTGTGACGATGTTGAATATGAAGCTGCAGGTTTAATCACAAATTGTGATGGATTAATGGTGAACTGCTCATAAGTGGTTGGAATAATTTTTTTAATTTATATATTGTTTTGATGTGAAATTGCTTATCTAAAGCAACAGATCCTGGAGGAATTCTGGAAACCATTCCTTGATCAGAGGAGATCTGCATTCGTTGGAGTGAGTTGTGGTTGTGTCTGAGGATCTCTCTCTTTTGAGTTATGATAATTAACTAGATATGAGTGGGTGGCTTCACCATGGCGATGTTTTACAGCCAGTTACCCCGGTGACCAACAGTTACTCGTTGTACATTTGGTCTGCCCAAACACCTGGGGTGCGTTAGAAAACATCACCTGCACTAGATGCAGTTCAAACGCCGTTCGTTAACGTTCATGAAAGCAGCTGAGCTCTGGTCCTCTCATCCCACAGCCTTTCAGTCTGCATTGCTCTTCACCTGCGTCTGTCAGCGAACATGACTGTTTCCTCAGTTTTCTCAGAGAAAGCCGTGGCTTATTGGGCTGCAACGGGTTCTTCCCTCGGTATTCAGAACGACATCAGTCACCACAAACAATGTCGAACAGTTGGAGTGAATAAGGCTTCGTTCCCCCTGCAGCCTGAAGAGTTGTGAATGTGAACCCAGTTTTTGAGCTTCAAACTAAAACTTTCACTGAGTGGAGGTGCAGCTTACGGTCTGAGACATGCTGAGTCCTGAATGATCAGAGTACAACAATTTACTCAAAGAAATAGTTCATTATGCATCTCAACAAACATTTTCTTCCTCTGTCTGAGCCTTGGGCAGATGAGCCACGTGAATGTGAAACGCGTGTTTTTTCTGGATGTCTTTAATATTTTACCAGGAACTTATTTTTCAGCTGCTGATGGTGTTGGCCCTGCAGTGCCTGGTTTGGTTTTCTACTGTCTGAAAAGAGTTGTCAAAGCGTTAAATATGATTTTGTGTTCTTGTTTTTCCCTCTAGGTGTTCTTGATCACTCTCTGCACCCAGGGAGTTACTTGATCTGCTCTATCAGGCCATGACAAGAAACTGCCATGCCTCGTGTGTCCTCACCATCATGGTCCTCTTCACATCATTGTCTTTCCTTCATCTCTCCACACCCAACCCAGTTTCTACGTTTGGGGATTATGACAACGCACCCAGAGAGGTTCTTCCCAGGCTTCCAGTTTATGAAAACACGGAACGAACACAGGAGCGATGGAAAAGAGCCTCGAAAGACCAAAGTGAGCAAGAAGAGGAGCTCTTTGAAGATGTGGATCCCAAAAGACTAGCTGCTGTGTTACTGGAGGCTCTGAATCACACACATGTGGAAAGAGAGAGGGATGAAGAGAACGACAACAGCATGGAAGAAGAGACACAGACTGAGAGAGACGAGATTCAAAAAGAAGAACCACGCGGTGAGAGAGTGTCAAGAAACAGAGAAAGAGACGAGCAGAAAGAGCTGGAGCTGCTTATTGCCTCACATGGCAAGGACCGGGAACGGGAGGAGGACGAGGAGAAGACGAAAGCTCTGGAAGAGGAGGAGAAGATAACGGAGAAGGTGACGAGCCACACCACAAGTCAGACGGTCCAAATTCAAACAGAGCAGCAGCCGAATGGATCAGACGGAACAGCGGAGAGCGGTGCTGCGAACCAGCAGGGATCATCCAACCCCGAGCAAAGCAGCTACGAAGAGGAGGAGCAGCTCAATCCTGAGGAGCTGAAGAGCCTGGAGACTGTGATGAAGGAGTTTCCACGTCTTAACACTAAAAGAGATGGTGCTTTGGAGCAGCCGCAGAGACATGTTAGAGGTTACAGCAGCTACAATGACATCATTCCAATAAATAAGGGCAGTGACCTCGCCTTAACCAAGAAAAAATTAAAATGGCAGGAAGAAACACAGAAAGCAGTTTACTTCCCAACGTTTACTGGAGGCAATTCTGTAGAGGAATCAGAAGACGGCAACGATATCAGCAAAGCAACCCAGCCCCCGACTCCAACTGAACAGAAAGGGGTGCAAGACGATTACACAGACGAGGAAGAGGAGGAGGAATTGCTCAGCCCAGAGGAGGAAGAAGCTCGAGCCAAAGTGGAGCAGGAGGAGATGATGAGGCAGGCAGCAGAGGCACAAAAAGCCAAACTGGAAGAGGAAAAGCTGGCTGACATCGCCTCAGACATGTTGCTGAGCTACATGGGGAAACAAAATAAAGGTGACAAGAAGCACAGCTTGTCCATGTCGAATGCTGCAGAGGATAAGAGATCTGATGAGGAAGCAACAGAGGAGGATGACCTTGACCCGCAGACCATTGACAAGTTGATTGAGATCTCCAGTAAATTGCACCTCCCCGCTGATGATGTCGTAGACATAATCACTGATGTTGAGAAAAAGAAGATGAAAGATGCGCCACCTGAGATGGCATCTGTTCGGCAGCATGCCTCAGCGCCACTGTCTCCTTCTTTTCATTCCGGTTGGCAAGTTTCGTCAAATCAAAACAGCTTTCTGGTCTCGAAGCAACCATCTCCAGCTGTAAACATCCTAAAAACCTGGTTTCAAGACAAAAACACACCCAAATCTGACGTTTCCCAAAGGAAACTTCCTAAACCTTTGCTCCCCTTTCATTTTTCACCCAAACCTGAAAAGCCCTTTCCGGTGAAACAGGATCATTGGTTCAAGTTACCAAAGTCTGTCTGGACTGGCTACTCCTTGTATCCCTACTCCTACTCCAGCTACCACCAAAGGAAACCCATCTTGGGTTACTATCCTTTCTATTTTCCTCCCATGCCAAGACCTAAATCTCATTACTTCCGGCCTAAAGCTCCTCTAACACCCAACAGTTACTTTGGTAATTCTGTGGAAGATCCGTACATTTTCCCTCCAAGAAGGCGCTATCAAAGCTGGGTCCAACCTCAGCCCAGAAAATCACCTCCCCTTCAGCCTAAGTCTTTCTACTCCAGCTACTACCCACATCCTTACTCCCAGCCATTTCAGCGAACACCTCCATCCCAAGCCAATTCCCCTCCTCAGTCAGCTGCTCAACGAAAGCACTTTCTGATCTCTGCTCTGGAACCCGCAGCATCAAAAAGCAAAGACTACCATAAGGGTGCAAAACAGCCAGACAGCAGTATCCATGATGATGTGGAGAAATACATCCAGCAAATTCTCATGAACAGAGCACACAGGTTAGACTGAAGTGGAATTATACAAACATCAGCGCGAGATTCCGACATCTTAAAGATGAATCAGGAGAAAGCTATATTTCTTTGAGATATTTTTGAGTTACGTTTTTTCTAAAGCGGCAGTATTATGTAAAATCAACATTTTTGGCCCTTACATCATTGTGACAATGTTATTTCCTCATCAAAACCATTCTTGGAGTGTTTCTTTGTTTTGTTATGCATGTTTGAGAAACCCCTGAATCTCCCGTGGCAAACATTCTGGTTTGTGGGATGTTTAGGGAATGGCTCGCCGTTTCCACACACAGTTAATCCTCCGAGCAGTTTCCAAGCTGAGCTTCTGCTCCTTCAAACTAGCAGCAGCAGCAATTAGCAAGTCTCCTGAGCTCATTGCTGTGCTGAAGGTTTGCAAGCGCTTAACAGTGAAGCGTTGCTCTGATTCCCAGAGTCAGAAACAGCACAGATTTCTTAAAGAGACAGAGGCTCAATTTTAAAGAGCTAAATTGCAAAATCAAATTTCTGTTAAGTCATGTTTGATTTAGATATATAATTTTTTTTTTTAATAAGTGAGGGTAATAGTTACTTGATTGTGCTACAAAATGTGTTTGGAAAACATATGATACTGCCCCTTTAACATTTGTTCCAAGTTCTTTCTTTCTGTTAGAATTGGTTGAGGCGTGAACACGGCCATGTTCTGAATACCAATGTAAAGACGTTGGATGGAGCCGAGAGGAACACGATGAATCTAGTCTGTTGGTCCAGCCTCGCTTAAAGTCCAGCGTGACAACTTTCTTAACATTTATCCCAATTTTCCTGCATTAGAAAATTGGGTTAAAAATGAAGTGGATGAACCATGTGATCCTGTGGGCCATTTGACAAAAAGAATTAAACTGTTCACATGAGCATATGGCTCCAAATGGTTGAAGGTGGGCACAGTTTCTAATCTCTGCCACCGCTGTCTCTGTTGTGGTTGTGTCGTTGCCTCCACCTTTTAACTCGTAGTGGAGGCTTCGTCTGCATGGCAGATGAAATGTAAGGAGCCCTGATCTCCCAATTTAAAGATCTTCTTCTTTTTTTTCATAACAGTGAACGAAAATACTGCCCTCTTCACCCTATCGCTGCATTTATCAAGGTTTTACATTGGAAAAACATAGTTTCACATGAACCCCAGACTCACTGTATGTAGATTACAAGATGTGGCCATGTCTTTGACTTCTAATAGTCAAAAATAAAGATAAAACTTTTAATATAAAATTCCCATCAAGCAAATCTACCCCATGGTGCCCTTCACAACAGTAATGTGTTTATTTATTGACGTGTGTCCTGCTGCCCAAAAAGTAAAACAAACGTATTGGTCAACTCAGAGCAGTGGTGGTTTCTGATACGGGCAACCGCCCAGGGCGGCATCTTGTGTCAACAACTCAGTGAAGGGGGGTGGCGCCATCCACGGCGCCAGAAAGGCAAGGACCACCTCTGACTCACAGACGGAAAGATGCTGAAACAAAGCCAAAGTTGTAGTTTTCCCTCTGGTGATGCTTCACAGCTCACACAAGATGTCTGCTCCTCTCTGGTCGCTTTGTTTTTCTCCAGATGTGGGAACATACATCTTTGCTTTTTTTTTGTCCAATTATGTTAACCCTTTGTTTTGTTGTTTTTTCAGATGTTTTCTGATTATTTTCAATGTTCAGATGCAGCTCTACAACCTAAGCAGTGCTGTATTGTGTTTTTAAAAAAGAGAATATTTAAATCTATTCACTTTAAATAAGATTTGAAACAAATTCTACTTTAGTGGACAAGTTTGACTCCAAACTTATTGAGATTTAAGATATTCCATCAATAAGTGGGCAGCGTTTAAAAAGAAATCCTAAAATATCTTCATGTTTGAGACAGATATTAAAACATTTTCATTTCATTTTGTTTTGTCTCCTTAAACTTGAAAAGCACACTTTCATGAGAGATTCTCATTAACCAAATATTGTACTACATTGCAGAGTATATTTCACACATAAACCAACAAACATCACAAAACAGCTTGCTCTCATGATGAGTCATCTTTTTTCATAACTTAAAGTACCTTGTTGCCATGGTGCCAAACCCTGGCATGTGTCTGTAGGGCATTGTTAAACAGCTGATGCCTTGAGAGGTGCAGCTTCGACACATCAGCTGAGGCTGAGGTCATTATGATCTAAATTACATAATTAACTTTGCAAAAAGAGATGGACAGTTGTTGCTTTTCAATAACTAATAACTAATCACAGAGGAACTTTGCTTTTTGATGGCTAAAAAAATCTCACAAGTTTGAAACTACATGTAAGGTTTGTATAGTGTATTTGTTGAGTACTTGGCCCTATCTGAAAATGATATTATAGTAAACATTGTTAAATGTGAACCTTTGAACTTGTAAACTTTTATCAAGATTAATTTAAACTAAATTAACTTTGGGACTATTCAAGTCTCTTTTGATCTAAATTTCTCTGTTTTTATCTTTTAAATTCTTCATGATGGTGATGACGACGCCGATAGTTGCTGTGAAATGCTATTTGTAAAGTTAAACAGTCAAAATTCAGCAGCCATAATTTGAATTATTTAGCCGTGTTACAAGAGGTAAAAATAGGGTGTACAGTTATATTCTCATAATTTTATGTATTCTTTTAAATATCACACTTTCAAACAAAATATCTAATTAGTAAGGTTCGAACCTCCCGATCCCACTGAGGGTGTAAGAAAATGGATGGATGGAGTAAAGTTCAAATGAAATAGTTAGCACGGAGATACCTAAATATTCCCTTTTAAGTTAATTATATGGTGTATTAAATATTTGGCTTGTTTACATATTTGTTAGAAATGTCACTTTGTTGAGGCAGCATAGTATCATATCCCTTGTCTTCTCCCACTTCTCCCAACACTAACAGCTCGCTCAGAAACAACCAATAAGAGCCAGGAGGCGGGTCTTATGGTTGTCAGTCATGCTTATTTATGTGCTGCTCACATCCTTCTCTTGCTCTCTGCTATACTACAGGGTCAGGTTGTTAATCATTTGATTGTGTAACTTTACAAATGGCAAAAACTCTGACTTTATTTGCCTCCATAGTTTTTAAGACCGAATTTTAGAAGCAAGTTTGTATAAAATCGATATTAAACCAATGTGTAACAGATGCTCGGTTGGTGTTGGTGACCTTTAGAGAGTGTTTCCTCGTCAGAAAAGAAGAATTTCAAGTTAGTGGAATAAAAAGAATTTCAACATTGTGCCTTTCATTAACAAAAAAAAAAAAAAAAAAAAAGTGAAGTGAAAGCAAGACGTTGGCTAATTAACATGTTTTCTGTCGTTTTGGTCATTTTTTGGGTCTGTTGTGACAGTAAGATGAGAAGTGTTGGAGGAAAGCCCTGAGTTAAAATGCACACGCCAGAAATAAGGGTGCAATCTTGCACGTTTCTGTATAAATGCATCCAAAAATTGCATCATGTTAAAAAGTTAAAAAAAAAAAAAAATCCTCAAGATTAAGGAAACAATGACTTCAGCACAAGTAAAAAATAGTGAGATGTGTATGAGTGAGTGTTGGTCTTTCTAACTGTACCTTGTTGTAAACGTCGTAATAAAAATGCGTTTGCTGAATGTAAACAAGCACATGTTCATGACTACTTTTGCTACTCATGAAGAAAATGAATAAAGTCAATTATTTTTGTTACAATAATGTTTTCTTGTGGACCCACACATTCTTCTTTTAACAGAGAGGACAGCCAGGTGAAGCCCAGCTCACGTCTGGATTGAATCAGAACCAGAAACTACAGCATGAAGGAGTTCTGGTAGACAGGAAGCCAGAGACAATAAATTATATTTGTATTTATTAATATTTAACACTGGATGGAGTAGCTTGTCAATAAATAAGCTACTCGCTCTCTTTATTATAAGAAGTTTGACGAAAGAGATGAAGAACCAGACCCCAGAAACAAACCCAATCAGATTGATCATGACTTGGTCCATATTTGGTTCTCCAATTGAATAATAAAAAATAACTTTTTTTCCTCCAACATCTAATCATTACGGAAACCGAATCCAGTTTATTTAGAAAGTTCCAAGGTTGCAATTTAGTTTCAAATTATTTTCAAATCAAATTCCTAATTACATTTGGACACCTTGTATTTACTGTTCAGACATTTTGATCAAATTAAATCTTTGTTTTAAATCAAAGTACTCTGAGGTTTTCTTTTTTTACTTTAGTAATGATTACAATTTATTAACATGGTAATTATTTATCCAGCAAATTACTTTTTCAAAAATAGTCTTTTAGTTTTACTTTAAGTTTCAATATTGTGAATCTGACAATAAGTAAAAAGTAATTATCGTACTTTTAAATTAAAAAATTAATAAAGCATTCCAGACCAATTTGATTTTAAATATAACGGTCCACTGTGGGAACATTTCCTGTTACTATCATCCTCTCATCAAGAATATGTCAAAAATAATAATAATAATAATTCAAAATCAATAAATTTCAGTTCACAGAGCAAAGAGAAGATAGAGGCGTCACAGAGAGCTGGTCAGAGATGGAGCATCCAATTCAGGATTCTGGTTGGATGATTGCTGAATCTCTGAGGCGTGTTTCAGCCAGTCAGTCTGACATCCAAGAAGGCTCTACAAAATGCTAATTGAAGCTTTTTATTTCAACCCAATAAGAGGTTGAGCTGCATCCTGGTTGCAGCCAACAGAAGAGCAAGACAAACAAACAATAAGCAGAAGAAAACAGATTAACTGGGAAAGAATGGAGAGGCTAAGGAAGGAGAGCAGGGAGGAATGCAGTGGTGATGGTTGCAGCTCTGCCCACACAGAGGTGCAGTGATTCATGATGTCACGTGGAGAAAACAGGGTGACTCATCCACCAACATCATTGTGCAGCCACTGCAGAGCATCAAAGTGAACACACACACACACACCGACAAACACACACGATCATTCTACTCAATTAAATGGAATGAAGCTGTTTTTAATATGCAAGACAGTAAATGCTTAAAGGTGTTCAAACATCGATGGTGGTCCTACTGATCACACGCCTCTGCTTGTGTGGCTACCTTTCAATTCTGGGAACTGGTTTGAGCTTCGGCTCAAGAGGGAGACTCAACATAAAATGAGCTGAACTTCCACCTTTTTACTAGGATCATTGATGACATGTTCCCAAAACATCAATGCTAAACTACAGATGACAATTGGCAGCTTTCAGTTTATATCAACTAAAAGCTGCCAAAACATACACAGGACCTTTACTATTTGTACAGCTGGTTGGGATGTTGCCCATCAACAGCAGTCAGTGGGGGTGGGGCAGGATGGACCAGTTCAAATCAAAACGAGCCAGAGACAGGCAGCCATGCAGGCGTTCAGGCCAAGAGGCATTCAAGGTTTACAATATCTTTGGATCCAGCAAACAATGGCAACAGAGTGACTAATGAAATAAAGAAGAACCAGATCAAGAACATTTAACAATGGAGCTTGAGAAAGAAATCTAAAGTGATCATAAAACCTCAGAGGATTTGTATTCTGAGCAGTGGAATCCAATTCAACCACAACAAACAGACACAAAAGCAAAAATGCAGAGAAATGGAATGATGAGGACCGATGAACACATATGCAAAAACTGTGAAGTTGGTGGTGTGTTGGTCCCAAATGCAGAGAAGCGGAGGCAGCGGCTGACTTTTTTGCCACCTTCCAGACTGGAGTATGGACCAGATGTAGAACCACTATAATCTTTTCATAAGACCTGACCTTCTAAGAAAGCTAAAAATGCTGTTAAATACTACATCCTCAGACGATTTTTGTAGCAAGTTTTTAATATCTAATTTAGTTTTATTCCTATTTAACTCTCTGACTAACACCTCTCTTTCCTGACTATATTTATTACATTCTAAAAAAATATGCTGTATTGTTTCTGACTTTCCACATACTGTACTTGTACTATGTTTGTTAATTATTGTCAGAGTACTATTTAACCCCTTATGCCCAAATCTTAATCTGGATATAACATCCTCCTCTTTTTTTATTCCTATTACCTTTCCTACATTCCCCAACTTTTTTTTAAATACTATTATAAAATCTTGCATTTTATTCTCTATCTCATTGCTCCAGCAATTTCCTTTTACTATATGTTTTACTTATATTTTTGACCTCGTTTTTGCTCATTTTTGCTAAAAAAAAAAAAGATTGGCAACTGGATTCCGAATATTCTGAGATTTCACAGCTTGAAATATTATTAACTAGATTATGTGGGATTAACCAGTAATCTAGCCGAGAACATTGACCATTTCCGGAAGGATTGAACCAGGAGTATTGTCTGATATCAGGATTTCTAATTCTCCAGCAGTCTGTCAAATTTGTACTAGAGATCAAATTTACAAAAATATCACTATAAATGTGGTGCTGCCCCCAAGAGGGGGCATCAGGAGGTACATTAAAATCTCCTCCTAATATTTTATTTTCCAACGTTTTATCATTACTCCAAGGTCAGCAAAAAATATACTATTCATCGCTTTATTATTATATCCATATAGGCACACCAAAATGATCTTGTTTCTATCGATCTCCACTATTACAGTTACCCAGAGAGTCTCCCTGCGGCAAGCGCGAAGTATTGACGACAGCGAGAAGTGGCCGCACAATAGTGACGTCACATTGGCGGTGAGGGGAAAATGGCTACCTCTACTTGGCTGCATGGCACCGCCGCTATGAGGCTCACAGAGGGTCTGGTGTCGGTTCTCAGGGAACAGCATCCAGAGTATCTGTCCGATGTGTTGGCGAACTACAGGGAACATGGCGTGTTTCTCAACCAGGTGACCCTGCGGCCCGTGGCCGAGCCACAGTAAGCTACCTCTGTTAGCTCACTGTGGCTCCAGCCTTTGTTGTCCCTGCGGCAGGAGAGCGAGCATGCCTCTCAGGCTGCTGCTGTTTGTGGTGAAATGGGTTTGACACCTGCGTGTTTGTCTCTTCAGGGCGCGAGCGACGTCGCGGGGCTCGTGGGCTTCAGCAATGCTAAACTGAGCTCCAGTAAAACCAGGTGAGGACGCGATGCTTTTCTCACCACTAAGGCTTGTGATGCTCAAGCCTTAGCAGAGCTGACTGCTTGGATAAACTGCTGATCGGTTGTCGTTTGGATCCCAGCTGCTTTGGAAGCTCGTAGCGCCCAGTCGCCTGTAAATGTGTGTGAGTGCAGATGACAAAAAAAAGGCTCGATCCATTTAAAGTGCGTTGATCTGCCCTATGTTGCCTGATCACACACACAACTCCCAACAATTGGCTTTTGACGTCAAAATGTTCCTACTAACGTGATAAGGTGCCATGGAAGGGAGACGTTTCAGTGGACATGTCCACCTGGGGACAGTAGGTCAGGTCTGCATTTGCTGCTTTCAGCTGAACAGGGTGATTTAAACCTCTGCCCTGTTCTGGGGCTGATCTGAAGGTCAGCCTGCTGCCCTTCCCCCTCACTGCTACTAGCAGATAAGTGTGGATTGTTGAGTTGAAAAGACATTGAATTACTATTTAGCGTCCTCTGAGGTGATCCAAACACCAGAGTTTATTCATTTGGAGGAGGGATCCAATACTTACAGCAAAGTAGAGCAGAAGTATGATCAGAGGTGAAAAGCAGAAAGTTTTATGATGCAGTCAGTATTGGTTATGAGCCGACGATGATGGAGGCCTGGTGGTCTGTGCTGGTGTTTTGAGCAGGTTCCAGGGGCTGTGCCTGCTATCCATGCTGGTTAAAGACAGTTCCAGTGATCTGTTCCAGCAGCACTGTCTGTCCTGGCTGCGCTCAGTGCAGCAGGTCATCCAGGTAAAACACACACACACACACACACTTTTAGAGGAGGAGACATTCATGTGTTCACTTTCTAAGTTCTAACTCTGTTTCTTCAAGAAACAAAAACTCATTAAGGTATTTTAATAGATTTTATTACTGCTCTTTCCAATGTTTATTTATTTATTTTGACTAAGTGCCTGCAGATAATGCATGTCAACATGTCCTGCTTTGTTTGTATGGCTTATTCAACGACACTATCATGAAGTAGAATCCCCTCCTTTGGAAAGTCTTGTCTCTTTACATTTTTAACTGAAATATCAGGTTGGTCACTTTAAAAGTGCCTCACTGCGGTTGAAAGGTTCTCCCATAATGCAATGCAACCCTTCAGAAATACATAGTCATCAGCTGCTCCAAGTTCAAACACTTACTAGTAACAGGATAACAGGAGTAAAAGTAAAATTTATGCTGCTTTTAATAATACAGATTATCATTACCAACATTTAAAATGTAAGTAATCTAATAATCTGTCTGTGATGGAATGAGATATTCTGATCAGGTGAAAGTTTTTTTTTTTCCTAACGTGGTTTGATTTAGACTTTTGCGGGAGAGGTGTTGAGAAAAATATTTCCCATTTAGAGGATTTAAAAAGCAGACTTTCACTAAACAACAGTGACTGTACAAAGAGGTTAAAAACATTCTGGAGACTTGAGTGATGGCTGGAATGCTGCACCCTGCATCAGATCATATATTTTACATTATTTGGATATTTATGATGGGTCATATCAACCTGCCCTGGTATCAGTTAATACTAGTTAACCGATAAATTTATCCAATTATTTATCATTCGTCTCTGCTGTGAACGCATTCAAATCCTGACCTAAACCGTCCGAACGCTGTGTCCCGCTGCAGTCCAAGGCTCCGTGTCAGAGCATCCAGCTGGCGGTCAGCATCCTGCAGGACCTGCTGCAGTACTCATGTCAGCTACCAGAGCTGGCCAGGGAGGTCGGCCTCAACTCCATCCTCGGCATCTTGACGTCACTCCTGGGCCTGAAAACCGAGGTGATTCAGAAGAGATCTCCCGTCTTTATTGCACTGCACATGTGAAATGTTTGAATCTTCCGTGCTACAAAGCAGACGATGTGAAGAGGCGGCTTCTGGGTGAGGGAAATGATGGTGTTGTGTTTGTGGTGTCAGTGTGAGCTTGCAGCCATGGAGGGGATGAGAGCCTGTATGGTCTACTACCCTAGAGCCTGCGGCTCCCTCAAGGTGAGGCATCCTACATGCTCTGGTTCCTTTAGACCTACTGACTATTTAGCTTTGCTGCATATCGTTTGAACAAAAACTGTTTATCTGATGCATGCTGACTTTTCCTTCTGCTGAAGCACAAACTAGGAGCCTATTTCCTCTCCAAAATGGACAGCACAAGCAGGAAAACTCAAGAGGTGCGTCTCCCTGGCTAAACCTGAACTGTCCCACCCCCTGGTTACCTGTTTACCATGCTCTCTGTGTCTCCTCTCAGATGGCCTGTCAGGGCTACAGCCGCCTGCCCTGTCTAGGGGGTCTGGTCGACAGGTCGGTGGGTACCGGCAGAGCCGAAGGATGGACCAATCAAATTCAGTGTCTGCTGGCCTCAGCCAATGGCATTCTGTCACAATTCTACAAAGGTTCTGAAACAGGTAGATATTTTTGGCCGATGATGTGTTCCATCTTCCACGTAGCTGTGATTTCTTTTTAAACGTGGGCTGATTTCTGTTCGTCTCTCAGATGAAGCAGTTCAGTATCGGGGTCCGGGCGTGGAGCTGCCCTTTCCTCATCTCGATCAATCGGACCCGCTGCTCCTTCTGCAGCTGCAGCACAGATACACAGCTGTCTGCCTGGCGCTGAAACACACACTTCGGTAGGAAACACTGACCCTGCAGCCGAGGGCAGCAGATCATTAATCAATATGAAATACGTTTGGGTCTGGATTTACTGGCGATCTGGTTATACTTTAAGGAATTAAAATGCCCAAATAATTTTCTGATAGAAAACCAACAATATAAATGTTTCAGTCACATTACATTAAAATACATTGAGAACAGAGAGGATGACTAAGGAGCAGAGATGTTTATGGATGTGTTCCTCTCGTCAGAGCGGATCCTGCCTCAGCCGTATATCTGCCCGTCAGACCCATCCTCAACCTGGTGTGCCGAGCGCTCGCTGTCAACCCCAGGAACACGGTGAGCTCACATACAAACGCACATAAACATACCCACATACCATGTCTCTCCATCTTCACAAGGACAATGACTTCCATTCATTTGATCAGTTATTTCCACATCCTGACCCTAAACTTAACCATTACCAGTAAATGTAATGGTTGAGTTAGGGCTTAGTCCTGATCTAAGCCCTAACTCAAAGTTCTGCTCCTTCTGGGCCCCATGTTTTGGGCCCCATAAGGATAAGTGGGTCACCACAATGTAGTATTTGTAGGAAAATCAGTCCCATTCATGGTAGATTTGGTGCTATAAGTGTTTTGAAACCAAAAGCTGGAAGATGTTGAATAAGTTAAACTGCTGTCTTATCAATGAAACAACTCAAGATTAGAATGAAAAACCTAACAACCTCAACAGCTGAGAGAAACGTGTCAAACATATTTCAAACATAAAGTCGTCCTGATGCTAAGCTAACGGATTGATTCTGATCCTGTCATGTTTGTCAGAGTTTAACATCAGACGGAAGCCTGAGGTTGCTGGTTCTTCCCAGTGTTCACATCAACACTCTGGAGGTGCTGGCAGAGCTCATCACAGTGTGAGTAGACACACACACACACACACGCACACACACACACACACAATGTGGTATGTGTCAGGAAAATGGTCCCTACAAGATATTACAAACAAAAACTCACACACTCCTGTCTGTCCTCTTGGTGATTTTTTTCACCTTTTTTCTAAATAATAATAAAAATAAAATCAGTTCTAAAATTATTTTAATAACATCATGTGGAGATATATTATGTTTTAAAGAGCAGAGTGTTGCTGATGGTATAAAGGTCATGATGTGTGTGTGTGTGTTTCAGAGTGCGCAGCGGCATGGTGCAGTACGCTGCTGTAATACAGAAGCTGTTTTCTCAGATGCTGTGCGCCTGGGCGGCTGTACCTGAAGCTAACGTTGGTCAGCAGAGAGCTTACAGGTACGCTCAGCCTCAGCGCTCCTCATGAACGCATTACGTCCAGATTAACAGGCTTCTTCTGATGTGGAAATGGAGACAAACAACCAATCAGAATCCTGTTTATTGCTGTGGAGTCAAATTCCACAGCTACAATCTACTCTACTTTAGCTGAAACCGAGAAAAGGCCGAGAATTGGTGCCAGACTGACACTATAATTTTTATAATTGGTAATAATGGAATATTTCATTCTTCTGTTATCATGACTTCATTCTCACTTACTTTTTTCTAATACCATCGCAACTTACCGACGTATTTCTCCAGTTTATTTTCACGCTTTACATATTTTTTCTGAACCATACAGATTAATACCCGAATAATTTTGTTCCTTATTGTTCAGTATGTCATCACAGTTCAGATAGTTTCCAGGTTCCTCCATTGAATTTTTATTTATTTATTTTTATTGTGTCTGAATTCCTCTGGCAGCGTTGCCAAGGCTGGTCCAGGTCCAACCCGTTATAATTTTTCTGGATATTCAATCATAAAATGGAACCAGTCTGATATAAAACCAGTTTATTTTTCCCAGGTACCCTGAATACTTTGTTCCTCGTTGGTTTTCTGGCCTTGTGGCTGACTGCTGGACAGAATGTCTTTTCTATATCACATATATTCTGAGTTTGCTGCATTGCAAACAGCCTGGTGTGGATCAGTGAGCTGCAGGTTCAGGGTGATTCTAACTCTTGGACTGTTTTTTTTGCAGCTCGCTTCGGGTCTCTGTGTACAGAACCTTAGAGCTGTGGCTGCAGCTTGTTGGAGTTTCAGCTAACGTCCTCCAGGGAGCTTCCAGCCACGCAGAGCTGCTGTTCACCCACCTGCTGGCCGACATCACGCCCGGAGCAGAATCTATCAAGGTAAAACGAATTTGCACGTTGAACGAAGAAATCGGAGATGAAACAAGGCCGTGATTCGGGTCTCCCCCAGCTGCGGGCGGGGCTGTCGGCCGATGTGGTTCCTGGAGGGAAGCCCGGCCCTCGCAGGACGAAGCAGCTGGTCATGGCCGACCCGGTGGGGGCATCGGTCCAGAGGAAAGGAGACCCGGTCTCCAACCAGGACACCTGCCTGTCAGCCCTGAAAGGTCAGCTGCTGCCTCCGCTTCAGAGCTCATGGATCGGGTCGGGTTTTGTTCTGCTCACAGGCTCTGAGCTGTTCCTTTTTTTTTCTTTTCCCCAGTTCTCAGACGCATCATACAGACCAGTGGGACGCTTCTAAAGAACGACATACACAAAGTACGAATCTGCCAGAACTGCAACATGCTGGCTTTGGTCAAGTTCATCTTTATTAGTCTGAAGTTACATCTGAAGAAGTTTTATCTTCAGGTGTATTTTTAAAAGACTGATAATTCCATAATTAGTTTCAGAACGATCCGGACAAAACGTTTGATTTTAAACATTAATAAAATTTTCTTCAAAGGACTTGGAACTGTAATGTTACTGTGCTGCGAAAGTCGATTCTAAACTAGTTAACTCCTAGTTTACTGACGTTAGCAGCATGGGATGGTGACAAGTTAAACAGTTTTCACCATTAATGAAGCATCAGTATATAAAAATGTATTGGATTATTAGTCTGAGCTTAAACTTTTCACGTAGAATCAAACAACCCAGAAACATCCCAACATTATGACACCTGGATCTGTGGTCAGATTAGCGGTCAGCCTGATATCTGGACCAAGAACTGTGTCCATGTTAGGTCTCGTGGAGTCTGACCCAACATGAACTCATGCTGCCTCTTCGATCGGAACTTGTGAATTATCAGGAAGTGAAGAAGCCGTCAAACATATATTACTGTTTCAGTCCATCCCCTGATTCTTTATCTTTTATCCCAAATGTCTTAAAAAGAGTTTGGTCATCAATAAACTATGATAAATAATTATTTTTGTAGCTGTAATGATTTTTTATGTGTTATCAAACTTGTGCCAGGTGGAGTGACGTTGGAATCAATGACTCTCTCCTCCAGTGCCTGCTGCAGTCAGGGCTGACAGGGGAGACTGTTAGTAGCCCTTTCTGTTTTTAAACTATCGGGAATAATGGAATGCGTTTTAGAGAACTGAACGTTTAGCTGGGATGATGTTTGTGGCTGCAGCCAGGCAGATTTCTTCCCTCACTAAGACACTCTGTCCTGTCTGTGCCTGCAGCGCCTCCATGAGGTGGTGCTGCCGCTGTGTGTGCGCCTCCAGCAGCAGCAGACGAGCAGCATCACTGCATGCGAGTCTGCAGGGGGCATCAGTGGGCAGTACAGCAGCGCCCTGACCCGCCGTCAACTCTACAGGTAGGTAGGAAGCAAATAAATAAAAAGCCATGTCCAAAATGAGTCAAAACTTTATGACCTCTGAATAGGAAACTATCTGCTCCAATGACCAAAGAAATACAATATTATACATAGTATTTCACTGGGTGCAAATGCTCTTTACACTAGTGATGCCTGATATATCTTTTAACGGTACCGGCCAACACTTTTAATATATGGTCATCAGTCCTATATTAACTAACTGATGACCAGTTAATACAATTATAATTATAGAATTTTCCTGCCCTATAAACACCTTGAAAAAAAATAATCACCACTGTTGTATCTGTCACATAACACATCACTCTCCCTCACGAAACAGAAATGGCAAAACTATCCAAATAAATATTGTCTATTACTATAGGCACATTTTTACTTATTGGACTGATGTATTAAACAGTGGCTACCATCAGCCTCCCAGGTTTGCACCAAGTCCGCAGTCTGTCCTTGTCTGATCCAGTTTCCCAGAATCCTCTCTGCTAAAGCAGCTTCTTCTGTTAACCTGCAGGTTGCTGCTGGCCCTGGTTCTCGTCCCGTCTCCATGCTGGCCTCCGCCTCTTACCTGCGCTGTGTCCATCCTCAGCAACGGCCGCCTGGACCGCAACCTCAAGGTTAGCCAATCAGCTGGCCATTTCAGGTACCACACTGGTACCAAACTGATGAGGGAGAGAAATGTTGCTCTGGTTTCCATACTGAAACCCAGCTGCACATGTTTAGCTGAGCCATCAGCAGACCTTTCCTCTCTGCAGTTTGAAGCTGTCTCAGGCTGACTGACCGCTGACTGACCGCTCCGCCTCCTCTCTCTCGCCCCCATCAGGTTTCGTCTTTCTGTTCCGAGGCTCTGACCATCTGTAACTCCCTCCTCCACCCTCGTACGCCATCCATCGCCCTCCCGCTGCCCCCGCTTGCCCTGAAGCCCCCCCCCACTGCCTCTGTCCTGTCCGGCCCGGGCCCCACCCCCAGGTTGTCACTGCCTACCCTGCTAGGTGGCCCCGCACCTGGGCCGCCCTTCCCCGGACGACACCCGCTCAGCCTGGGCTCCAACTCTCTGCTGGGCTCTTTGGAGAACCATCTGTCCCTGGTTCCAGGGATGCCGGGCCCCGCCTCGGCCCCTGGAGACCTCCTGCTGTCTCCCCACGGCCAGCCACAGCCAGACCCGGCTGGGCTGGGGCCCCTGGACGGCCAGAGGCCTGTGTTTGTCCGCTATGACAAAGAAGAGGCAGAGGATGTGGAGATCTCTCTGGCCAGCGACTCAGACGACAGTGTGGTCATCGTCCCTCCAGGCATGCTGGGAACCGACAGCCAGCTGGACGATCCGGCCCCTGGCTCCCAGAACCTGCTGTCTGCTGCGGCGGGGGCCAGTGTCCCCCTGCCAGGGGGAGACACTGTCACCATGGTTCCCAGCACAGCAGCTCCAGCCTCGTTGGACGTGACGTCGCTGCCCAACGATCTGGTCCCCACCTCCAGCACCCCCGCCAACTCCTTCCCTCCCTCCAGCGGCTCAGTGGTCTCCCTGGTGACGTCGCTGACCCCCGGCTCCGCCCCCCCTCCCGCCGGGGGCCTGGCGGACCCTGTGGCAGTCAAGCCTCAGTTGCAGCAGATGCTGCTGCAGCCCCCGGGGCCTCAGGGGCCCCCTGGCTCCATGGCCCTGCAGGTGCAGCTGCAGAACCAGCTGGCCCAGCAGGGCCGCCACCTCCACCAGCACCCTCCCCCAGTTCCACCCAGCAACCAGGACTCAGCCGTCATCAACATAAACAGCACCGATGATGAGGACGAAGACGAAGAGGACATGGAGGACGATGAAGAGCTGGAGGAGGAGGAGGATGGTCTTGATGAGGAGGAGGAAGAGGAGGAAGGCAGTGAAGACTTTTATGAGGGGGAGGACTATGAAGACTTTGATGATGAGGAGGCTGAAGAGCTGGAAGAGGAAGAGGAGGATGAAGATGGGGACATTCCTCCTCTGGAGGGATCAGAGGACAAGTCAGAGGAGGTGACCATGGAGGAGGAAGAGGAGGAGAAGGTTCTGGGAGCAGAAGAGGAAGAGGGGGAGGGGGTGGGGTTTAACCCAGAGGGGGGCATAGAGGAGCTGCAGAGCAGCAGAGCTCTGTTTGGAGAGGAGAGGATGAAGGTCCAGGAGGTGGAGAGCATCGGAGTTCTGGAAAAGGCAAGGGACGGGGACGAGGCGGGGGACAGGGGGGACGGGGAGGACAACAGTGAGCGCATGGACGACCCCAGTATGCCTCAGATCCTGTGTGTTACTGGAGGAGCGCTGGAGGAGAGGGCCGACAGCAGCCAGGAGGCTGCACAGGCAGCAGGGGAGCTTCAGGACCAGCTCACGCTGTGGGACCAGAACCACCAGCAGAACCCGCCCACCGGGGCCTCAGAGGAGGAGCCCACCGCTCACAGTCAGCAGGTAGGCTCTAGACCTGGACCCCCACAGGGATATAAGATGTTATTCACTTTTCTTCTGAGAGTTGTTGGAAGGCTCTGCTGTAGCAGTCTGTGTTCCAGTGGTTCTGAAGAAGCCTCTGTTGTTTAGAGCCTTTTTAAGTTAAGTTCTTAAATGATTATCAGAAGAATTTGGCAAAATAGAACAAATCATGTGGAAAAACCTAGTGAGCAACAGCAAGACCAGTTGGGTTCCTACATACGCCTGTGTAACCCCAGTGACCTTTAACTCCACATTTCTCTACTTTTTCTTTTCAAAACTGATACTATTTTTACTTTTTTAGTGTCTTTTAGAAAATACCTGCCTCATTTAGTTGGGAAAACAAACTTCTTGGTGTAATAAAAATGATTGAAAATCTAAGTCTGCCAAGAGTTTTAGCAGATCAGAGACTGAAAGATGGATTTGCAATTTGTCCATTTTCTTGTAAATGCAGGAATTTCTTAGTGCTTCCTTTAGTTTCACAATGTTTGGCCTGAAGTTTTCCCAAAAGACTTTAGATTTAAATTCCTTATTGATCCTTTCAAGTTAACAGTTTATGAACAAATCCTCCAGAAACTCACCAAATGGTTTTTGCAACACAAAAAGGCAAATGTTAGCATTTAGCATTAATAGATGCAGTCACAACATTGCATCTTTCGGAAGTAGAATAAGTCCATCAGCTACAGAGATTATCTTCCAGATTTTAAACCACACAGGTGGACTCGGTCAGGTTTTTATTGTCTTCGTAGCGTTTTGTGCTCAGGGAGCCAAGCGTTCCGTCTAAAGTTCCGTCCCGTTGCACAGGAGCCTGTGGCTGAACGTGAACAGGAAGCTGGCGCGACAGAAGAGGTGGCGCTGGAGGCGGAGCTTCAGGAGGAGGAAGAGCCAGTCGTTGTGCAGGAGGAAGCTGCAGCAGGAGCATCGGGAGGCGAGGAGACCCCTGCTGCTCCTCATGATCCTCAGCAGGATCAGGCCGACGCGCAGCAAGGATATGGAACGCAAGCAGAATGGACGAAACCCGAAGGAGAACGAGGAGAAAAAGAGGAGAGTAATGCTGAGGAGGAGAAAGGGATGAAGCGGAAGAGAGAGGAGGAGGACGTAGAGGACGAAGCAGGACCAAGTCCTGAAAAGAAAAAGGTAGAATTTGAGATATTAATAGCTGTTACAGTATATGTTTTCAATAAACTCTTCTTCTTTCATAGTTCTTTTAAAATTCAGCCTTAAATGTTTCCAAATTTAGATGTAAAAAATGTTTCCATGGAAGATAAAATAGCAGCTGAAACTAAAGCAACATTAAAGTCAGTCAGTTCAGCAGCTGGACAGGGTTTAACTCTGGTCAAGGTTTGGCTCTGGTCGGTGGTACAGGAAGTAGTCAGGAGGACTCATTTGTGATTTCATTATCATTTTTCTACCAAAAGCTGGATGTTAAAAGTCTTCAGTCTGGAATGTGTCCTGCAAATCACATTAGTTCTCGCAGCTAGCTGCGTTCTTAAAAGTTTTTCTGTTAATTTTGTTTCCGGAGATTTCATAACTCAATTTATTAATTGTTTCTGTTGTTTTGTTGATTTATTTTGGATATTTAAAATGTCTTCCACTTCCTGTTCCAGTGTTAAATTCTCATTAGAGTTCAGAGTTTATTGATCTTTGAGCATGTGTTCTTGCATTATTATGTCGTTATTATCATTACTGGCAAATTGTCTCAAAACAACAATGTTATCGTTTATCACAATAACCTCTGGGACGATTAATCGTCCAGAAACATTAGTTATTGTGACAGGCCTGGTTCTGGGTGGAAAGGTTTCCTAGCAGACTTTGTTTTTCTGTATGATTGAAGATGATAATAAATTACTGGAGTTTGTCTGTTCTCCAGCAGGACGACGAAGCGATGGCCTCCATGTTGGCAGATTTTATTGCCTGTCCACCTGATGAGGAAGATGTTGCCTCAGGATCCAACCAATCATAAACAAACCGAGTGGACCATCATGGACATTCGCTCGGTTTTCAACACTGAATGACCTCAGAACAGAATCGATTGTCTCCAGTTGTCGCTGAGTAAGCAGGTGGAAAGTGTTGTGCTCCGTTGTGTTGGACATGGAAACATGGAGGCTTCCTGTTACCACCCTGGATCTGACCAGAACTGTGTTGACAGAGTTAGAGGAGCATCGCCGTTTCTCTGGGAAACAGTGAAGCCAAGAAATGTTCGTCAAAAGTCTGCTTCTCTCTACAGTCGTCATCCTGCAGGAAATGTCCTCTTTGGTTTGTGCACCGTTTTTGAATTGTTTTCTGTCTGTAATGTTTTCTTACATTAAAGTATTAAATATCTGTCATGGATATGTACATCATCCAGGCCTGCTCTGAGGATTATTTCCATGCCATATCTGCACATGGTGGATATTTCACATCCAGAAACCCTCTCAACATGGGAAGGGGGGTTAAATGTGCTAAAATGAAATTTGTTTAATAGAATTCTAGTTTGAATTCTCTGAAATGACACTTAAGAGATTATGATGAGTTTTCACTGGAGTTTTATGCCAGAACAAACTTTCATTTCAGTTTTGTCATGGAGTCAGTCCAACAGAATCTTCCAGCCATCCAGACTGATGTCCATTCCTGGGAATATTTTATTTACAGTGAAAGATGATCCCGGATGTCCGAGAGCAATTAACAAGATAATATTTAGTGTTCGAAAGGGTTGTGGAACATAAAGTAGGCAAATATTGGTAATGGGCCATAACGGCAATAAAAAATGATTGGATATCAATATCAGGGCAAATTTTCACATCAGTGCATCTGTAGAATAAACTCACCAGATCTTAACCTGTCAGTCAGTAAAACGGTGCGTGTGTGTGTGTGTGTCTAGTTCTCGGCTATGCCCGTTTCTTGTCTGACGCGTCTTTTTCTGAGGTCGCAGTCAGGAGGGCAGGTGGGTCGAGAGGGATGTTAGATGATGGAACTGCGGACCTTCACCGATGTTTGCGGACGGTTCTTTAAACGCCCCGCTGCTCGCTCGGTGTTTTCCGCCATTAGTCATCCCGGATGGATGTCAGAGGCGAGGAGAGAGAGAGAGAGAGAGAGAGAGAGAGAGAGAGAGAGAGAGAGCAGGAAGGAGGGGTTTGGCTGTCTGATAACATCCGGGAGCAGCGGACGTGTCTCCTGATGGGAGGCGATGACGCGCCTGACGCCCTGATTCTCCTCCGCCTCTCATCCTTCCTCACTCTGCTTCGCGTTGATCCAGTCTGTGCAGGAGCCTGCCTTCTCTTCTACCCGCAGAAGGAATCCCACAGAACCGAACCGGTACTGGATCTCCCCTGGCAGACAGCTGGTACGGACCCCGGGCTGGGGGCTTTATGTCTTCAGAATGATCGCAGGAGCAGGAAGACTGAGCGTGTTTGTGTGTTTTCCTACTGGTAAGAGGAGGCTGGTGGAGGTGATGGAGGCTGGTGGAGGTGATGGAGGCTGGTGGAGGTGATGGAGGCTGGTGTCTGCTCTTTGTTGGCGGGCTGCTGTTCCTCCATCCTCTGTCTGTATCAGTGATGGCTGAGATCTGAAGCAGGACTGGGAACCTCTGCATCATCATCATTATCATCATCATCGTCAGTATGTATGGCTGATCAGCTGTGTGTTGTTTGCCTCAGGGTGTGCTGTAAGTGTGTGTGTGTAAGTGTGTGTGTGTGTAAGTGTGTGTAAGTGTGTGTGTGATGCGCACGTCTCCAGCATCCCCGCTCCATTTCTCCACCGAGAGGCAGAACAAGTGTTGTCGGTTTCCGGTTGTGGTTGTTTGCTTTTCGTCCGGCCTTTTGGTTCCAGTCCGACTGTGTTTCTGAGCAGGAGGAAGCGGGAGGCCGTCATGGGAACAGGCGAGCCGCAGCCGGACGCCGCAGGCGGGAACAATAGGTGGAGAAGAGACTCTCTTTCACACGAAACTCACCTCCCTCGCGTGGCGCACTCGCGGCCTGCTGAGGTGCTTCCTGTCTTCTAGATGGTTCCAGGGTGGATGGAGGAGGAGAGGCCGCTCAAAATGGCAGATTCAAGGTAGCGGCAGCTTCTTGTGCTCCTGCTCCAAAACAGCCCGGTTTGCTGAGTAATGACTCGGGTCCTGTTGGGAGGAAACAAAAACTGGCTCCCAGAGACCCAGAGCCGTGGTTCTGGCTGCTGCGGGTCTCCATCTCCACCAGAACCTCCCGTCATTACATTCTAGACAATTCCGTCTCTGACAGGATAACGTGATGCGTTCAGGGTCACCAGTTCATGGTGCTGTGAGCTACTCTTCACGGGTCTTTGGCTTCCATGTCGGCCTCAGGCATAAGCAAGCTGAGCTGCTTTCTTAATGGGGGGCGCTTGTGACGTCACGCTGTAATAATAGTGATAAAATGAACGGTTTTTATTTTGACAGTCCAGGGCCACTTATTTGCACGTGAATTAGCATGTTGGCTAAATATTTACCTCTGAGCTAGCTAAACATTTAGTCTCCTTGCTCCATAACTGTCAGAGCTGTTGCTGTGAACATAATGTGTCTCCAGGACAAAGGCATGAAAGTAGTGAATGCTGCCTTCATGTAGCTTGATGCGATGGGTTGTTCTATAGAGTCTAACAGTTCGGCTGTGTTGCTCTTCTTTAATGAAACCACTAACTAGCGGGCTGTTTCAGTGGATCCTGGATCAGTGTTCTGTGGTTTCTGTGGGTGCGCTCTGCCTTCTCAAACACCCAGTTGTTTGCAGCTCACACTGATCCAGGTTCTGGTTCTGCTGGAGGTTTCCTCCTGTTACAGGAGAGTACACAATCCTTGTGCTGTATGAGGGATTAATGCAATCAACTATCCACTGTTGTATTTGTTAATTAGGAAGGAAGGGTATGAATACGATGCAGTCTGCTGGACCTCTTTAGATAAACATAGAGGCATGAAGGCAGCATCATGCTGTGGGGTTGTTTTGCTGCAAGTCTTTCTGGGTCGTTCCACAAAGTGTGCAAATCCTCCAGCCTCTCTCATCTAAACTGTTTCTTCTTTTTTTTGGTTTGAAATGGAAAACAAAGAGCAGGACAACAAACACTTCAGGGAAGCTCAACTGGACCAACAGGAAATAAATCAATTTCTATTAACTTGAACTCGACCAGCAGCAGATGACGGCTGCAGAAGATTTGTTAATTTTAACTGGGACGTATGTATACTTTTGACCTTGTGTATTTATGAACGCTTAAAGTAAAACTTGTATATCTGATTCTTCAGTGATGATCTCAGTCCACCTTGGAAAAAACAACACCTTTACACATCCATTCAGTCAGTCCACATTTTCTCTATTATGTGCCAACCTGTTACACCCTCAGCACTGCAGACTGTAACAGAGTGTTCCTTTTCATTCAGATCCCTCTAGTTCTGCTTCACAGTGCAGTTGAATCTGATCTGATCATGTCAGCTTGCCTCACCGGTTTCGGACTTGTTGCCCCGACCGTCCCGCTGTGGAAGTGGAATGATGGCGGAGGTTCCTCTGGGAACACAGCAGCTAACGTTTGCTGCAGTGCAGCCCTGAAATTCTGACCCTGAAAACTTGGGCAGAGCACAGAAGGTTCCTCCGCTGGTTCTGTGTCTGAGGCAGCAGGCGGAGTGCTGGAGCGTCTGGTCCAGTAAGGAGTGGACCGAGGCGTCAACAGACGCTGTCACACGACGGACTGTGTGAATCGTGCAGCTGTCCTTTCTTGTGTGGTCACTTAAAGCTCAGACTGATGGCAGAAAACACAGACGATGACAAAAAAACGAGAAATTCTTCCACACAAGGAGAAGAGCTGTGCAGGTTTTGTTGACGCTAACGCTCATTTCTCACAAAACACAAACCGATCATTTGTTCCTGAAGATGACACATTTATCTCCTCCTTTTTACCTCTGATTCCTTCTACCTTTCCCACTTGGCCTGGTTACAATGAGGCAGGTGCTAGGAGACAGGATGATGATCTGTAATGTGAAAAATATTAGCTGGATCCATAAAGGACCTTTTCCTTGATGTACTGCAAGGAAAAGGTGGAATTTCCTTGCAGTACATCACATTGCTTGAATAAAGAGAGCAGAGTTCAGAATGTTTCCTGGAAGCTAACGGCCAGTCAAACCACTGAGGTGCACCGGTTTGTCTTCCTCCCTCGTGGAACTGCACTACAAAACACACCCTGAGCCTGAGTGCAGAGTAATACTTACTAGATATATTAGAGTTTTATCTTCTGTAGCACTTTACTTTTACAAGAGTCAGCTACTGTGATCAGAATCAGATCCACTCAACATGTTCAGTTTCACAGTAAATGATTTGCATGGAAAGGTAAATCAGAGTAAATCTAACCAATCTTTAATGTTAATAACAGATGAGTCCTGATCATTATCAGGAGGAATTGTAATTGTATTTTTGAGATGGAAAAGTTTCCTTCAGACTGCGAAACTCAAATTGAACATTTTTTCCCCCCATGTTGCCATTTGCACTGATGACATAGATGCAGAAATAGTGGAGGGTTCTGATAGTGGAGAGCCCTCCAGTCCTGATTTTAATGGAGTGAAACTAGTAACTGCTCTCACCCACTCAGAAGAAGCCTTGTGTACAAAATCGGAGGTAGATATGAGCTTTAGGACAAACGACTGAAGACGCCTCATCTCTGCATCACAGGTTGGATTACACAAGAAGATCATATTTATATTCATATCATGGAGATTGATGATGTTTTTTTTTATTAAGCTAAGTGAAGACATAGAGATACGTTTGATTTATATTAATGACATGAACTGGATTGCTATGTTAAGCTAAACTCTCCATCTATCAGAGTGGAGATAGATGGAGGAGGATCAGAACTCAACTCCTTTTGATGCAGAGGAGCAGTGGCTCCACTGGCCAATTGTCTAATGAACAAAGCTTATGTGGAACCATAAGGGAGGGTCAGAACAGTAAATCTAGATCTATGCTTCTAGACTCAGTTCTTTCTTCAACAGAAGCAGCAGCCGTGAATGCTGAGTGCTGTGAAGGTGGTGCTGTGGGTGGAGATGGCAGGAAGATCGTGTTTGGAAATGAAGCAGGAAGTGATGCGAACAGAAATAAATCCATTTAAATCACATGAAAAGGATCTACATGTTCTCCAGATGATCTTTGTGTTTCTGAGCGAGAGCTCACCTTCCTCCTCTGTGCTTCTGCAGACTCTTCCTCTCTGTTCTCCTCTTCCTCCGTCAGACAGCTTATCCACGTCTGTCGCTTCCTGCCCACACAGTGGGACTCTGGCTTCGTTAGAATATGGGTGGGCATGGAAGAGGCAATCCATCAACCTGCCAAAATCTGGACACACACACCCATACACTTCCTCTTCTTCTCTTCCTTGATCATTTCTGTCCAAAGACGGATTCAAGCTTTTCTGTTTCTTTTTTTCCCCACCAGAGCTGAACCTCATGGGCCTCATGGACCTCATGGGCCTAATGAACCTCATGGGCATCATGGACCTCATGGACCTCATGGGTCTCATAGACATCATGGGCCTCATGGGCATCATGGACCTCATGAACCTCATGGGTCTCATAGACATCATGGGCCTCATGGACCTCATGGGTCTCATGGGCATCATGGACCTCATGGACATCATGGACCTCATGGGCATCATGGACCTCATGAACCTCATGGGTCTCATGGACCTCATGGGCATCATGGACCTCATGGGCATCATGGACCTCATGGGCCTCATGGGCCACAGTCCAGGTCCAGCGACGGCTTCAGGTTACTATTGCGGTCAGTTCAGATTCAGAACAGGGTTCTGATCTGATCTGGACCTGAAGCTTTCTTTACGATAAGCTCTACTGGAGACGGTTTTTATTCTTCTGCATGCTGTTTTTCTTCCACAGTCCTGAAAAGCTGATTCTAAAGCTGGAGGTTTCTTCCTGTTAGAGTGGAGGTTTTCCTCTCCACTGTCGCCACATACACGCTTAGTCTGAGCGATCGCTGTAAAGTGAAGTTACTGTTAGTGCCTGCAGATGCAGATGATGTCTGATTTCAGGATGCCTGGCCTCTTCCTGTTAGAATCGCATCAAGAGCAGAAAAACAAATGTAGATTTCAGTGCCTTCGTTTCTTGGTGTCTGTTCTGCTGAGCTCTTTGCTGTGGTTACGGCCAGAGATCCCTCAGCCCTCACCGGCTCTCCGCCCAGGGATCCAGTGATGCTTCCTGGGCTGAACGGAGGTTCTGTTGGCCCTGGTGTTGGCTCTGACGGAATCCAGATGTTTCGGATCAGGCCCTGACTTCGCAAAACACGAGGAGGAATAATGCCACTGACGCAGTAAACCTAAAGCATTGCTCTGTTCCAGGCAGCCATCTTGTTCTGCCTGAGTCCAGAAGACCTTCACGTTACGGTTCAGAGTCAAAGTTCTGACTGAAGAACATGTGGGATCCTCAACCTGCTGCCTCAGGATGAGGAAGTATGTCTGAAGAGTACGAAGCTGTCAGGTTGTGACACCATATCACTGTTAACACACACTGCGCCTCATTATAAAAATCATTTTATGTTTGAACAACAACCTATTAGTTTCTTGGTTATTTGCTACTCAATATTTATCTTTCAAAGCCCAGCAAATCATCCACTGTTAATTATATAATGTAATGTATCAGTAAATTCCCCTGTTTTCTTTTATTTAGAGGTGGGTTTCATTCGTCCATATCCTCTGTGTTTTTCTGAAGTAAAACCACATGTCTAAAACCTCCTTTATTAGTGTTTCTGGTTCTACCTGAAGGCTTCAGAATAATGTTTCTCAACGCTGACCGGGAATTAGAAAACAAAGAGGAAGCCCAAATTTGGGATGTGCCGTTAACATTCCCAGGATGGTTACCTAACCTCTTCAAAGAGAGAACAAAGCGTGAGCTCTGTGATGCTCTGTTTTCCATGTGTAGGTGGTCTTGCCCACTTCTGATTATTAATAGTGTTGGACATTCAGAGCAGAATCTGTTTGCAGACACATGGACTGAGCTTTGACTCTCAAACTTGAAGTCAGAGGAGCCAGGTGTCTCAGTAACGTGTGTGTGCGTGGGTGCGTGTGTGTGCGTGCGTGCGTGTGTGTGTGTGTAGGACAGAAGGTCCCGCTGCTGTTCCTATCATGATCATGTTGTTCTCATTTGCATTTGCAGTTGAATTCAGAGTGTGTGAAGAGGCTTGTAGTGTTTCAGAAGAAGGAAGAATCATTTTGTGACCGTCTCTGTGTCCCGCTCCTCAGCAGCGAGCCCCAGTTGTGGCCGGTGGGCATGGTACTGAAGGGCAGCTCAGAGGCGCTGTGTCCCCCCCCATCTCTGGAGCTGCGCCCGTCCTGCAACAAGAGCCAGCCCTCCCCTCCTCTGGGCTCCAGCTCACAGCCACACGACGGAGTCATTTCTGAGGACAAGGAGCCCATCAAGTACGGCGAGCTCATCATCCTGGGGTGAGGTCGTGCAGCGGACACTTTCACCAAACGCTTTTTCTCGTGACTAATTCTTGAGTCGAGTCTGAGTGGCTGACTAGTCCAAGTTACTGTGAGACTGGGCTCCCAGAACCAGACCGATCTCCTCACAGGATGCTGTGAGATCCTGATGAAACCCTGTGCAGCTCAGTGGGAATGTTCAGTCTGTGATAACATTATCATACGTGTCATTAATTATATTTCATGTATGAGTTTGATGGCAGTGAGACCTGATGAGGACGGGAAGTGGAGCTGAAAGTGGCAGCAACTATTTTCTTCAAACAGGATTGGAAATGAGGGTCAGACTGACATGACAGTGTCATAAACATAATGTGACGTCTGTTATGAACATGAAGGAGTCTTCATGAATGTTTATGACTTTTGTCATAAAGTGTCATTCAGTAAATAATTTCACTTTTAATGCTTTTAATGCAAAGTTGAATGTTTGAACGCAAAGTTGCACTAAAAAATTTCATTAAAAGTCGATTGAAAGTGTCAACGTTGCATTAAAATTGTAATTATTTACTGAATGACACTTCATAACAAAAGTCAAACATTCATGAAGACTCCTTCATGTTCATGACAGATGTCATGGCAGTCTTATGCACATCCCTTCGAATAAAATGTCACTAAAATGAGTTTTGGGTTTAGATTAAACTGAAGGGAGTGCTGAGCTCTGGGCTGACTGGGCTGACTGGGAGCAGAAACTGGGAAAGACAGAAAAGGATCCATGAAGTGAATTCCTGCATGGTGTTTGGATCTGCTGCCACTAACCTGATGTGTGTGACTTTGGACTTTGGGTGGATACGTTACTCTGATACCCAGAGACAAATTCACACTGCATCATATCTGGCAGGAATTATATAATATTACATATTCAGTAGAAGTGATGATGGTTTTCTCATAAGTCTTTCTTTAGATTGTTATTGTTTTGTTTCCGTAGTGGAAGCATGTTGTAACAGAATCACTGTGTTTAGCAAGTTTGAGGATTAATTTGACCTCGTTTGTAGCATTTCTATGATTATGCAGAGAAACAAAATATTAAACCTTGAAGTCTAAATCATGTGCATAAATAGGAAACGATGGACAGACAACATAACACCCTGATTTATTTTGATTTAAGTTATTTAAGTTTCCCACAGTCTGAACTCAAATAGCTTTTTGTTTGACACAGGGTGAAAGCTTGCAGTTTGGACTGATGACTATATTTCTGTGAAATGGCTTGAGATATGTTGTGAATTGGTGCTATATTAATAAACTACCATTGAACTGAACTCAATGGTAGTATCACGTATTATCATTAAAGCAAATCTCTTGTTCTTACTCCTCCCAGCCACAATGGGTCACTGGCAAATGGTGACAAAGGTCGTAGAAGAAGTCGCCTTGCCCTTTATAAGAGACCGAAAGCCAACGGGGTCAAACCGGATGTTATCCACAACGTCTCAACACCACTGGTGTCAAAGGTAGTTACCCTAAAATGTTCTTTCTCCACCAAAGAAATATCAGTGGGACACATCACAAGACCATGCAGTGACCTTTGACCTTCCTGTTGGCAGGCTCTCAGCAACAAAAGCCAGCACAGCATCTCCTACACACTGTCACGGAGCCACTCTGTCATTGTGGAGTACACACATGACATCAACACAGATATGTTTCAAGTAGGTTCTTCTACACACGCACACACACACTTCCTATCCTCCACACAAACCTGAGAATTTTATTTTCTTTTAAAATAATCCCACAACAGGTCGACCAGATGTAGCGTTTCCATTCAGAAAACAGAATCGAAAGCAGAACTAATCCTGTTAGAATGTCCATAAACACACTTACATGCTTCAAAGACATGAGGGGTCGAGTGTGTGTGTTAAACAGTTACCTTTTAGGACTGCAGGAGGAAGTCAGAGTACCTTGAGAAAACCCTCAAACCTGCAGAAAGATTGGAACACAGAACCAGAACCAACGGCACCACCATGCAGGTCCAAACAAAGAGCCATTCTGTACTAAAATAAACTGTGTATCAAAACAAACATGGATAAAGCTCATAAAAGCTGGGGGGGTTTTCTCGTATCTGGATGTAATCAGTAGCTGCACTGTAAAGGACTACAGCCACATCTGACCAACACCAGCAGGTCAGGCGGGTTCCCACCGTCACTTATTTCACTTTATTCGATCTATAACCTGGGGAAAATGTCTTCTTATAAGTGAAATAATCTGAGAATGGAACTAGAATTTTTTTGAAGGAATAACTCACTTAACCAAGCTCCAGTTTCTTGCTGAAAAGTTCATTTTACTTCATGTGTTCTAAGGTATTTGTGGTAGAAACTAGATAATACCCGATCAGACTTTGTGTTTTTGCAGTGACTGCGCCAGTTTATGACGATTTTCACACAAATATGTATTTTTTAATTCAATTTTTAGTATCAGTTATGTCAAAATAACGATTATTTAGACAACTAGTTCTGAGTACTTTTTCCATGTGATCAATGAAGGTGTAAAGTAAAAGCAGAAACAGTGATGTAGGCGTAGTGGGCTGCCTGGGCGAAGCCAGCCACCAGGTCCGGCTCCTCCATAGCGGAACCTCAAGCCCCTGCTGCCGCTTCATGTTTCGGTCGTGATGAATTTGTCTCTGTGATGACATCGACCTCTGCCTGGCTTCTCTCAGATCGGCAGATCTACAGAGAGCATGATCGACTTTGTGGTCACGGACACGGCAGGCGGCAGCAGCGGTCACGGTGCGGGTGCAGCAGGGGAAGGCGGTGGTGGAGGTCAGTCAGCCCAAAGCACCATCTCTCGCTACGCCTGTCGCATCATGTGTGAACGCAGCGCTCCCTACACGGCCCGCATCTACGCTGCTGGCTTCGACTCCTCCAAAAACATCTTCCTAGGGGTCAGTTTCTGCCTTTCATCTGGTATAGCAGAAGTCAAAGAATATCTGTTTTTAGATATCTGAATATTTCTGCTCATTGCCAAAGTTTGAATTATGTTCAACATATAAAGGGAACAGCAACATTTATGGTTTTAGCTATATGTGTGTGTGTTAAATGTCAGGAACGGGCTGCCAAATGGAGGACCTCAGACGGCCTGATGGACGGCCTCACCACCAACGGGGTTCTGGTGATGCACCCGGCCGGAGAGTTTGTGTCTGAACCTGCTCCAGGTGTGTGGAGGGAAATCTCAGTGTGTGGCAACGTGTTCGCCCTGAGGGAGACGCGCTCAGCCCAGCAGAGGGGGAAACTGGTGAGATGACGAAAACAAACCACTGCCTCTGATTAACTGTGCGTGTAAAACCAGACACACTTTAGAAAAACAGTTTTTTTCTCACTTGCTGAAATGATCTCAGATGGAAATTTCAGTTCTGATCAGCACATTCGTTTTCATTCACAACAAAACATAAGTGATTCGTTTCTTTGAGCTCAAATGTTTGCATACACGGAGTTAGACGCGAGTTAAATGGAGGAACCACTTGTGCTTTGGGTCAGAGGTCAGGGGTGAAATGTTCTTCACCTGCTGGCTGAAGTTGGAAACAAGAGTTCAGTTCTCCTCAGTGTGAAGAACCAGGAACCAACATGAAGTGAAAAACCTCACAGAGAAGAAGAAGCTTTCACTGAAAAATCACCAAAAGAAACTTTATTACAATTCACAAGCAAACAGAGAACAAGACCTTAATTATATCTATGAATATATATATATATATATATATATATATATATATATATATATATATATATATATATATATATATATATATATATATATATATATATATATATATATATATATATATATATATATAAAAGCCCCAAATCATTCATAATTATTTCTATTCAACCAAGAAGTTTGATTCTGATCAGAAAATTTTTAATCATATTCTATTAGTTTCTATTCACATTTTTTTTAAATTGCGTGTCATAAATTGTTGATTTCACAGTAATCAAACCCTCCTTGTGTGTTTTCAATCATTTATTCTTGGTAATTAGCTCCAAGCAGTTGGAAGGTCTCTGTGCTATCACCCTAATCTTTATTGCCCTCAACGTCTGCAAAACATTAATACTGAGTTAAAACCAACATGTTGGTCAAATCAAAGATTACTTTAAATCTGCCAGAGTTACGAATAACTGTGACCATAACTGTAGTTTATAATGCAGACCTTGAAAAGATGCATCTGAACTGAGTTGACCAGAACAACCCTAAACACCTTTCGGACAATGCATGGATAAGATTAAGAAGATTATTGGTGTTGGAACAGGAAATCAGACATTGATGCTCTTTTCTAACAATGTTTTTCTACCTCTTTGTCTTCCTCTGGTCTTGTTTCAGGTTGAAAACGAGTCAAACACTCTCCAGGACGGTTCTCTCATCGACCTGTGTGGGGCCACCCTGCTTTGGCGGACCCCTGCCGGACTGCGCCACATTCCCACCCTCAAGCAGCTGGAGTCCCTTCGGCAGGAGCTGAACGCCGCTCGGCCCCAGTGCCCCGTCGGCTTCAATACCCTGGCCTTCCCCAGCCTGGCCCAGCGCGAGATTGTCGACAAGAAGCAGCCCTGGGTCTACGTCAACTGTGGCCACGTGCACGGATACCACAACTGGGGCTATCGCAAGGAGAAAGGGCTCACCAGCCCGGGGGGCACAGCACCAGCCGGCACTGGTGAGAGAGAGTGTCCAATGTGCAGGAGGGTAGGCCCCTATGTGCCTTTGTGGTTAGGCTGTGAGGGCGGATTGTACTTGGATGCCGGCCCCCCCACACATGCCTTCTGCCCCTGTGGCCATGTGTGCTCTGAAAAGACAGTAGGGGGGTGGAGCCAGATCCCGCTGCCCCACGGCACGCATGCCTTCCACGCTGCCTGTCCCTTCTGCGGTACTTGGCTGACGGGGGAGCAGGGCCACGTCAAACTCATCTTCCAGGGGCCCGTCGACTGAGGCTCACACACACGCACGTACACACACACACACACGTACACACACACACACACACACACACACACACACACACACACACACCCACACGTACACACACACACACACACAGGAGCCTCTCCCATGATGAAGGACTTCAGTGAATGACTGGTGACTAAGGACTGTGTTCTTGAGCAAAAATGTGAATGCGCTGATGTACAGGAAGATGACTCCTTCCGTGATAAAACTAAAAGCAATAGTAGATGCCAAGGCTTTGAATGGAAGAGCTGTCTGGAGAAAATGTAAATAAATAGTGTTGAATTGAATCATGGTCTTTTAATATCATTTGCTCTGTGCTACCCTTGAGTCAGTGGGTCCACTGAGGCAGACTGCCTGGATGAAGTAACCCGGTCCAAAACAGAGACCAGAATGTCAAACCTGAAGGGGCTTCAGAAAAATGATGGTGTAACAGAACTCGGCATACTGGAACATCCCCATCTTATGTGACAAAAATTATGATTTTGTTTTTCAGAAACTACTACACTGTTACACTGTTGCTTCCATTTCAATGGCTGCTGTTTCAGTCAGGAATGGGACTCTGTTGGGCTTAGATATTTCCACCAGCATTCACAAACTAATTATGGTGAGTCTCACTTTGTAAACAGTAAGTTCAGATTTCTGTCTTTGAGCCCTGCTGTATGTGGTGCCTGTTGTCAAGGTACATAAATTAATAGCAATATTTTGGTTAACTTATCATAAGAGAAAAAAAAATTAGGTTCATTTTTCAAAGGAACCCAGATTTAATAAAAAAAAAAAGTTAGTTAAATATTTCATTCACAAGCTAATCAGTGGGTTAGTAAATACAATTTTTAGTTTGCAAATTAAATGTTACATTATGATCTTACAGCTAAATATTTAGCTTGCGAACTAAATATTTATCTTGTGAATTAATTATTTGGAGCTGTGACATTTATAAATGTATTAATAGCACGATTGAAATATAACTTTGAAAAATGAACCCGTTTTTTTCTCCTAATGAAACATAAAGGGAAACAGTGCAGACAGCGCCCCTTTCAGACTGAGAGCAAGTTCCACCAGGAGCTGCTGCAGCAGCTGGGTTTACACAAACACACACACACACACACACACACTAAATCAACACAGGCTGCATAAACCAACATATTGCTGTTAGTTTTTTACTATGTAACTTTACAATCGGGACCCCATATTATAATCTGTGTGCAGGGAGTACCTGTGTGCAAGCTGTGTCATAACATGTGACACAGCTTGTTATCCTGTGTTACTAAAAATAACTGAAGGTCACCTGCACCCCCCTTAACCCCCTGCAGGAGGAGAGCGAGCGCACGACTCTTAAAGCTTGATATTGTTCCAACTTATGCCCTTCCATATATCTAATGTGAACAGGATTTTTAAGGCCATGAAGTCTGGTTCTGGATGACAGTCGTGCTTAGCAGTGGGAGCAAAAGTGAGAAATGTCCTGTTTTATTTGCCATGTCAGCAGTAATTCACAGAGGAGACGCCCCCTGCACACAGCTGAGCGACTCCAGGCAGAACAAAGCAAGGACATCAGTGACAGGGACCCTCCTGTGACCCACACACAGTTAGAGTTCAGACTTGATTTCCAGTCATCGTTTTTCAGAATTTTATTACATACATCTTTTTAATATGTACAGAAAGAAACATGATCAAACTCTGCAGTAAGACAAAACCAAAGGGGACAAGCCAAACAAGACAAAAAAATGACAACAGCTATTACCTGGTGTTTTTGAACCAACACCGTCTAATGAGTGCCCTTGCTGCATTTAACTATTAAAAAGCAATAAAGAATTGTGCAAACAACACAGAATACCCCCTTAACCAAAATAATCCAAAGTGAAAAGTAAAAATGAAAAAGTAAATGCAGACCACATTCATGAGTAAACCCCCCACGCTTTCTATTAAACCCCCCCTTCCATTCAGTGAACAGTATAGGATTCAATGAATACACCAAAACCAGCAGCCAAGAATACAAAGACTGGCTGAAAATAAAGACATGGAATCAAAGCCCAAACTTCCATGTGTGAGAGTTAGACAAAGTTTTATTCATGATTTCTAGTTGTGCATCTACATGTGAGAACGGCATGATGCTGTGATGGGGAGGGGTACCCACTGACTGCTCAAGCTTCATTCAACCTGACAGAAACCCCACCCCAGATGGTGACAGGCGGCCAGAAACAGCGCTAAACCAGAGCAGTTGGTGCCTTTGACCACTAGGGGTCTCCTACGTCCGGGTGTTTCTGGGTTGTGCCAGCTGTGGGACGGAAGGGGAGGGGAAATCAGGGAGTTCATATCCGGTCAGCAAGCCAAGACCAGTCAGTCCCTGAAACTACAGAGGAAGTTGCCAAGGATGAAGCCAACAGCATCACAACCACTAAGAGAAGGAGACGGGAGATCTGGAGGACAACGGCAGAAAACCTCCAGTTCTAGTTTACAGCAGGAGGATCAGTGCTGCTAGAAGACAGTTCACTTATTGCAGAGGAATGCCGGTTCCCCCCTTCTGGTTCCCCTAAAGTCCACTAAGACATGGCTATCAGTTCTAACATTGCTGAGCTCTTGGCTTGGAAACAGACCCTCTGATGCTGCAATACCAACATGAGAGAGAGAACTGGTGAGTCCAGCTGGAATGTCCTCCGGTCTGTTCAAACTCCTCCTCGGTCCTCAGGCCTTGCTGTTAAACCTTCCAACAACAGACTGAAACTCTCCAGGTGGATCACCTCCAGATAATGATCATCATCCAACAAGATTAGACAAAAGTGTGATGCATCTAATATTAACCAGCAAAAGGTGGGCAGCTGGAAGTGAAATAGGAAGGTCTGGCTGCCAAAGATAACTGAACTCTAAATGATACACATGTGAATGAGCGTGAATAGTTATCATGCTGTTTTTTCAAAACGATCACAGGTCATTTGACGATGGTTCAACAGCTGTGACCCAAACAACTGAGTCGGAGAGGTCGTCTCGGCAACACAACTGCGGATGCATCTGTAGCTTCACGTGTTATCCATAAATCTTATTGGACCGATAAACAAAACTCCAACAACAATCAAGCCGATGAAGGGCTTCCCCTTCTTCTAATGCTCTACTCTATAAGGAATAACGCCACCTGCTGACAGAAACACTTAGTGTCTCGATGTTCAGTCATGAAGGAAAAGCTAATGTCATAGGTTCCAGTCTCCACTGGGCCTGGGCGGATACGGGTGGATGGCACCATCCTTATCCGCCCAGGCCCAGTTCAGAGGTGTACTCTGAACACTGAAGGTCAAGGTTTTACCGCAGTTGACCCCAACTCTCCAGGTGGACCACCTGGATCAGTGTGTATACTCCTCTGTCAGTATATAGACTGAGGAAGGATGTTAGCATGTAGCTAAAACATGAGTTGAGATGTCAGTAGACATTTAAGGCCCCAAATGTTGGAAATGAATGTTTGTACAGCAGGCTAGGAGGAAGATAACGAAGAGGCTGCCTGAGAGAGAGCGCCATCTGGAGCCTTAACGGGGAACTTGTGTGATGATTACAGTCAGAAAGCAACAGCAGAAGGGGAAATCCTCCCAGGACTGAACCGGGTGGGAATGAAGGTGAGGGGGGTGAAGAAACTTGACTTCAGTCTTTTTAACTCTAACTGGACAATAGTGTGTGAGCAGGAACAGGTGAAGTCTCTCAGTGAACCAGCCTTCCCTGTAACAATCCTCTGTCCTCTGAGCAGAACGCATCACTGCAGACTCTGGAACCTTCCACCATGCTTCCATCAGATCAGCACCCAGAGGGGTCATTGCCTGACCTTCCACCCTCTCTGATGCTCAAGGGTGCTAAATGGAAGGCGGGGCCAAGAAGGCAGGCTGGGGAGGGAGTGGCAGAGGTCAGGGGGGTTAAAGTGATGAAATGATGAAGGTGAGGGAAAGGGAAGAACGAACATGAAAGAGGGATTCACAAGAGATGTGGGGGTTGGTGGAGCGAGGGCATGGGTCCCTTAACAGCAGCCACCTCCAGACTGCCTCACTGGGGTGCTGTCAATCTTTAGGTTGGGCTTGTCGCCGCTGGCTGTGGCCCCCGGCCCCATGCGCTTCTTGATCTCAGCCGCCATGGTCATGAAAGCCTGCTCTACGTTGGTGGCGTTCTTGGCACTCGTCTCCAGGAAGGGGATGGCCAGAGAGTCAGCAAACTCCTGCCAGGAAGAGGAAGAAGAAGATGAAACATAAAGGGGACCGGTGCAGATAGTGCCCCCTTCAGACAGAGAGCAGAAGCTGCAGCAGCAGCTGGGTTTACACACTCAAGATTTATATTCACCCCCAATAACCCTTTACAGCACAGGTGTCAAACCACCGCCCCACAACTTTTAGATGTGCCTCTGCTGCCCCACACCTGAATAGAATAATTAGGTGATTAGCAAGGCTCTGGAGAACTGATCTACACAAGAAGGAGGTAATTAAGCCATTTCATTCCAGTGTTTTATACCTGCGGCACGTCTGAAAACTGCAGCCCTTGTGGACTGGAGTTTGACACCCCTGCTTTATGAGACGGCATAAATATCAACCCTGACTGCTTCACCAGCACAGTGATCAGTTTCACTGTGGAGTACATCAAAGCCATAACAGTAATAAATTATAAAACCTACATCTTTTATTCCTGAGAAGAAAATACAACTTCCTGTTGTCAAACTCAATCAACCATTCAGCTGCATCCACAGTTTCCATCAGAAACAGGCTGTACCTTGGCTGTTGTATAGTCCACCACTTTCTTAGTAGTGAGGTCACACTTGTTGCCCACCAGAAGCTTGTTCACGTTTTCACTGGCATAGCGGTCGATTTCCTGCAGCCACTGCTTGATGTTGTTATAAGACTCCTGAAAAAGGTGATGCACGGATTTAACTGAAAGGCTTCAAACAGGAGGAAGAGGATAGACTGACACAGCCTGGCCACACTCCAACTTCCTGTCATTCATCAGGCTGTTCCTGCACTCACCTGGTCGGTCACGTCATACACCACGATGATGCCATGGGCTCCACGGTAGTAACTAGAGGTGATGGTTCGAAACCTCTCCTGACCTGCAGTATCCCACTGATGACCCAGGAGAGAAGACAAGAATAAGAAAATACATAAAATCATGATGTGGATTTTGTATATTATAATCAAATGCAATGGTGGATCAACCAAAAAACAACCAAAAACAGTGTGACATTCACTGTTTTCTCCACCAGAAGATCTAAAATGGAGTTAGAGCAGAAACATTCACTGATGTGAGAGAAGGACCAATGGCATTTTCAAGCTGC